AAAATGGTGGTATACAACCCATTTTCAGGGATGGCTATGGATCAATGCCCATACATATCCTTTGTTAGGGGGATGAACATCCATAAGAACCAACTATTTTGATGTGAACGTCAGAAGGGGTGCAAGGTTTTGTTGACCCATCCCCATTTAGTTGATATTTAACAATCATTTAACTACCATTTTCCATAGAATCCAAATACTGTGTGTATATATATATAAAATACAGATATACATATAGAGATATTAAACCCATTGAACCTATTAAAACCTATTAAAACCCATTTAAATACCACCATTCAACCACCATTAAATCCATCCCTAATCGCCGGCTCCGCAGATCCTCAAAAACCGTCGGCTGGAGAAGGCAGCGGATTGGGTATAGTCAGGAATTGAAACATAGAGTGGGGCCGGGTACTTCGTCTGAGCACGTGTTTTTGTATGTTAGGTCGTTTTTGGACTGGTTCGTTGATTTTTGTCTTGGAGTGGTAACTGTCCACATTGTGGCCAGGCCATTGTTTCCAAATGCAAAACAGATGAACTCCGAGAGAGTTCTTTGGTTTTGAGTTGATCGGAGGCCCCACAGCCAGTGGAGTTGAAGGCGGAGGAGAGTTCGGTCATGATCTGTTGGGTGATGACTGTTGATCCGATAGCAGCTAGCGGCTAGTGCAGTTAGACACGTTTTGTTTCTTTCCCGATCTTTCCCACAACAACGTCAACACCATTCACATACCGTTGGTTCATAGGTGCTGTTCTAAATGGAGTGAACCCTTTAATTGCTCAACATGGACTGGGCCTGCTTCTCGTGTGTTCAAGAATATTACTTGATCTGTTATTTGGACAGTTCAAAGGAAACATGGTCTTTTAGACTGGAAGTCTCAAACAGTCTTGATTTGGCATGGATGGATTTTTGTAGTTAGTGGATGTCACTACTCCCACAGCTCAAAGCCCACCATATGTGTAGATTGTTAAGCAGGATCTAGTCAAGAAGCTGGTGGATGTCTCTCCATGTCACATTCCTTTCCTATCCGCTTTTCTCCTGGTGAGAGGTGCTGTCACTCTGTATGCCAAAGAAAGCTCGGTTTATGCCTTTATGCCCTAAGTTTTTCCGCCCATTAGGATATCGATGATGAAAGCAAACAGGTAAAGATGTTGATCTCTCATCTCCCAATAAGAAAGATGATGAAGCTTGGTCTATTTCAGCATATTTTAGCCGTTGGAGCGATCCGTATAGGCAGGACTATGGTCCTCGGTCCGGGTTCCCATCGCCAGCTTGCATGATGAGCACTTTCTTGAATCAAGGATTGATCCACGAACTGTTGCAGAACAGTCTTTGTGATTGCAGCAAATCTGGATAACACCAATAGCGAGGGCTTTGAATGTCTTTTGATAAGAAGTTAGGTCATGCACAAAGTTGCAATAAGTACAGTAGCTAGTGTCTGAGATGCTAGGCGCATGGGATTTTTTTCTTCTGCATGCTTGCAGGCCCTCAGCACGTGCCGCCACCGCCAGGGCTTCAGGTGTAAGTGGGATTGGCGAGGGCAACTAAGGAATACACATTGGGTCATAATGGGGCTACCAATCCCTGAAAACAAACCAGTCAGCTGACCCCTTGGTAAATGGGTTTGTCGAAAACGGAGTGCCTCAAAATCTAATCGCCTATCGTATGTTTTCTCATTAAAACAACAACAGGTCGGGTTATATCCCCTTTTTTACCCTATTGTGTCTGCATTGTATCTCGATTGGCCAACCAATCCCATGTCAAATCTACCAGGTTTATCGCCGAATCTCTAATATTTTCTCATTATAGTAGAGATTCGGGGATAAACCTGGTAGAGTTTCTGGGTTAATTTTTGATCAAATATGATCAAATCCCATGATCCCCAGTTGGTCAATGTTGGTCAACAAAAATCATCAAAAATCGATGTCGATCATTTGATTGATGACATCGAATTTCCATGTTAAATCCCCAGTTGGTCAACAAAAGTCCCCTGATATCAAATATGATCAAATCGCCTCAATTTCAATTGTCAACATATCCCCAATCTGTGATTATCAACATATTCTTATTCCCTATGGATCCAGCCATACTCCCTTCTGGAAGGTACAGTCATCTCCTAGTCATCGTACCCCCCATACTAAAAATCAGGTACGGTAAGACTGGATCCACAGGGTCGGTATAGGGTCGGTTAAAGCTTCAGTTTTGCTTGTCAAAATAACTCCACTGACTTGTTTGACGGTTAAGCTATGGTAAGTCAAGTTGTCTTAAGTTGAGTTGCAATTGTTTATGCATGGTTGAATTGTGGTAAGTTGATATTGCCACCAATTATGAATTACTGTTGATTATCACGGTATCCCCATTTGATGGTGAACATATCCCCCCAGTCTTTCTCGATCTTTTCCGAGTGCCTTTCTGACCAGGTTGCCACCGAAAGCAGCAATGGCCAACAGAGCGCTCCAGCGGCCGGGAGACGCAGAGACATTGGTTTTCCCATAAAAAGTCGGGGGTTTTCGAAGAACATTGGGATTTCTCTCTACCCATATGCTCCATGGTGCTGGTATATTTACCTACAAAACTGGGTGATTTTTAGGGTACATGTTGGTAAATATTCCATACATGGAGCATTTGGGCTATTTACATGGATTGCATTTATCGGCTTCTTCATCAACCAATTAAGGTGAAGGATTCCTATAGGATAATCTAAGTTTGGCCTGGAAATGGGCAAAAGGACGCCACGTGGCTTCAAGAAAAAAAATGTGTTGGCAAGTTATGGTAAGTTATGGTTGACAGGTGGGAAATATTTGGAGATCATCTCTACTGTTGTTCAAGCCCCATAAGCTGTTGCTTAACCCCAAGATTCGTTGCGCAGCAGCAGTGACAGACTTTTGCACACCATGAGCCCTATGAATTGGAGGACAAATCCGCAAGAAATCCCAATCTTTGGGACCAAAACCCATGGTTTTCTCGCGATTTCCCCTGAAACAAATCCATTGTTTCTTACCCATTAAACAAACACATCCATGAGGTGCTCTACGGCCCCCTCATCAGAACGGAAGATATCTCAATATACTGTAATATCCCATATAGTTCACATTATCATCCAAAATAGCCAAGATATCCCCATAATATGTTTTAAAGTTCATATAGTTACTTACAGTACTTACCATCATTCCAGGCTTCGGTCACGACGTGAGGTTATGGTTATCTCACCACTCAAACTATGTGAAACTGCACCTTTGTTGAGCCCGGTACCAACAAAAGACCATGCAAATGTCAAATGAATGAACTAGCGAAATATCCAAAAATACCCAAAAATCATGAAACAACTATTGTGAGAACTCGCTAAGCGGCATTAACACACAAATCTTATTATGAGGTCAGAAAGTGAAGGCATTGTAATTTGCCTACATCCCCATCTTGATTGTTTGCTCATGGATTGAAGCCCCATTTTAAATCCTTAACTTTTGATTAATATGTGGTTTAGGCTTTGATAAAATGTGTGAATCATGATGTTCGGTTTGTTGATACCGAACAAGTATATCAAAAAATGCCAAGCACCTTGGTGCTTTGCTGTAAACTTGCAACTTTCAGGAGTAACGTCAGCTCCGTTTATAAACTCTGAGCCATTTAAGCTGTGGATTTGCTGATCCGGACCCCCCCCAAAAAATAAAACATCTTCCCTATATATATATATAGATTCCCTAGAGATTTCCCGGGAACACGCAGAAAATATTGTTGTTATTGTTCTCCCATCACTACCCTCTGGTAAACTAACATGGCTATTGAACATGGTCAATATTTTCCCATTATCCATACATTGGATGCTTCCAATGGAACCAAAAAAATCTGTGGCCTCTGGCTGGAAACCACTCCGCTAGAAATTGCAGATATTTTCCATGCTTGGTACATGATTGGTGCAACTGATGTTGCTTGGTACATAATTGATTATAACTGTACCAAAATACATGATTGATTATAGATGTTTTTTTATTTTTCGGGTTCTACACAAATTGCCAGAGCGGCCAGATGTTGCAGGTGGATGCAGAGTCCCTGTACGTTCACAAGTCTGCCCATGAGGCGGATGTTCGGAGTTTTCATGGAAAAGCCACGTTTTTTAATGGTAAAATCAAGCTGTTTAGTGGTGTTTTTCTAATTTAAAAATAGAGTTTTAATGAGTCTGAATGTTTTTGTTTCTTTTTATATAGTGGGTTTCTTTTTTCCGTGGTTTCAGGAGTATTGCTTTTCTGTGCAAAAATCCGATCTATCCCAAATCTGCCCCCCCATTCTCGCCCCAAAAAACTTCTTCTGATCTCGGCAGACCTTGGCAGCGGCCCTGGCATGGGACGATGATGCCATGGCGACTTCTGCTGGCAGCTGGGGTTCTGGCAGAAGATCACTGGGAGGAAGGAGAGGGTTAAACGATGGCATAACGATGGCTTGTAACAGCAGTATAACTGATGGGACTATGTTATACAGATATATACAGATATATACAGATTCAGTATCTGTTGGGCTATATGTATGCAGCTGTATGCATGATACAGTACTTGACACATTCTATGTATGCATTTAAACTCTTTGACTGATGTCTTATTCTAAACAAATAAGTAAATATATATGTGTATATATATATATGTGCGTGTGTGTACACACACACACACACTGTAATGTATGTATGCATTTTTTTGTGCACATACACACAAGCATACATTAATACATATACGCACTCTTAGAACTATGCATTGCCTGGGGGCAACAAGACAAGATGTTTCCTGGGTTAGCCCAAACAACTAGCTATGGACAACCGTAGGTCCTTTGTTGACAAATAGAGGAGCCACCAGGGGGCCACCATAGAACACCGAACTCATGAGTCATTAGCTGGTACTAGAAGAACCCTGGTAGTCTTCCCAAGAGTGTTGGTTGCAACTGCCCATGACCTGAAGCAAGTGGGAGTGGATTTGGGGGCCCATCCTCATTGTGATGCTATTGCGTTTCAGGAGTGATGAGTAGCTTGAGCAGCTTCTGCCCTCACTTGGATGAGATCCCTGAGATCTTTACGACCTTCTGGCAGCGGTTGCACTCAAGTGTGGTGCAGCTGGAGTAACTTGTTGCAGAAAGGAAGTAAACTTGTTGCAGAGTAGTAACTTGTTGCAAGTTGGATCAAGTTGTCTACTCTTGTCAGAGACCAGCAATGATGATGAGTGAAGCTGCTGCAACTGAGCAAAAAGTGGAGTACTCAGGCAATGGCCCCCCATTTGATCCCATTTGCAGATGATTTCCAAAAAGATTCAGTACCGGTTTCCTTCTTTTCCTACTGTGTTCGATTTCCCATTTGGGCATTTCGGTATTTCCTGTCCAACGTTTGCCCATCCAGCGTGGCTCAAGTGCGAGTCACACGGCGCGGTGCTTCGCAAGCGCCCCGAATGAAGCAGCTCTGATTGTGGCGACCACCGTGACGACCACCTCATGCTGAGCAGTGCCATGACTTCGGGCGGGGAAGAGATGCCATCCCGCACCGATCTCTGGAAGTGGGTGCCAGTTCTCTACATGTGGGGGACCATCTTGTTCCTTTACTTCACCTATGTCTTTCAGCACTGCATCCCGCGACTACAGCTGGATGTGGCGCCAGACCTGGTGAATGGTCACGTCAGGGCCTCTGGGCATATGGAGATGCTGGTGGTGAATGGCATCACTGCCATGCTCTTCATTTGCTATGCCCGAGCCATGTGCACAAGCCCTGGGACGATCCCTGCTGGAGACAGGAACTGGGACTATCAAGCTGAGGACTTGTTGAGCTACTTGCCGAGTCTACCCAGCTTCATCAAAGAGAAGAAGAGGAGTGGAGAGAGGCGATATTGCAAGTGGTGCAGCAAATACAAGCCTGACCGGACTCACCATTGCAGGACTTGCAAGCGATGCATCCTGAAGATGGATCACCACTGTCCATGGATGTACAACTGCGTCGGCTTCTTCAACTACAAGTATTTCTACCTTCTGCTTCTCTACAGTTTGATCACTCTTCTCTTTATCATTATCACCATGGCAGAGACGGTGCAGAGAGTTATCGACATCCCAAGTCCTTTTTTGACGCGGTGCATCATTTTCTTCGCTGAGACCTTGGCAGTTGTGTTGGCCTTCATTGTCTCCCTTGGCTTCGCCTACCACACTTATCTGCTGACCAATGCCATGAGCAACATTGAGTTCTGGGAGCAGAATGATCCCAAGCCAGATGCCGAATCCAAAGCAACTCCGGGGTTGTATGACCTCGGTCTGTACAACAATATCAAGGCCTCTTTGGGCAACCAACCTCTGCTCTGGTTACTTCCCGTGAATCCTCCGCGTGGCGATGGTGTCCACTTCCCAACCTATGATGACAAGCCCGGCGATCAGCCCTATGAAGACTTGGAGGTGACAAAGACCGTTGTGAGGAAGGAGAAGGGCAAGTCGAGACAAGAGCGACAGGAGCGTGGGCTTTGCGGCCCAGTTGGCAAAGAAGATGAGGTCTGTTAGATGAGGCAGTTCTTGCCTCACCTTCCCAGCAAGATTGCACCGCGCGTCATGACTGATGAGAAAAAAGGATCTCGCCAGTTTGCAGGAGCCTGGGTGGGAAAGAAGCAGCTATTTGACTTCGGACATCTTCGGACTTTTTGCAATCAAAAAGAATCGAGCTGCCTAACTAAGAACCATCACAGGATAGCAGAGACACTCAACATGAAGTAGTGTGTGCGATACTTGTCACTTCAACCGGGCTTTCCATGCCCTAGGCATGACATCTCGATGGACGCGGGGGAGCCAGACCACGAGACGCGTGCCTTGTGTGTTCAGCTGGCCCTGCTGCGGAGCATCATCCAGGGGCAGGCAGGGATCCCATTTCCGTGCCCCGGTGGCAAGGCCTTATGGATAGGGGTCATGATGCAACCGTAAATAACGTAACCCCGAATAACCCCGATATGAATTGAGGTGTTTTGGAGCTCGTGTTGTGGGGGTCACCATGGGCGGGGGGGGCTACCCCATGAAAAACATGTACAAAGAAGTGTCGCTTGCCTTGTGCAATGCGGTGCTCAAAAAAATGTGCAGGTGAACATCAGCAACTAGCCTGAATACCTTTCCAAAATGCCATTCATGACCATTCCAATCCATCAACATCCATCAACATCAGCCATCCCAGCCATCCCAGCCATCCCAGCCATCCCCCATCCCCAGCCATCCCGAGGCAAGCGGTGAACAGCTGCCCCACCCTGATGGCCATCTACTTCCAATGGTCCAGCGGTTTGGCCCTGGACGCCACGCAGCCGCTGCGGAGCCGTGCCCTGCTGCAGCTGGGGGCGCCGCTGCAGCTGATGGCGCTGTCACGGGCCTTGATGAGGCCGATGGGCACCGCCTGGGAATGGATGGCCAAGGGGATTTACAGATTAGATACAGATTAGAAATATGGATGTGATGCTGTGACAAGATGAACGTTTTTTTTGAATGTTAAGTTTGGCGCTCTCTACTGTGTTTGTCGCTATGGATGCTTAAAAATCCCATGACGACTTGAACAGTTTTTCAAACTTTTCAGTGGTGAGAACTTGCCGATGTCTCCCCTGGGCATTTTATGGGGTGTCAAACGATGCAGCTGACAAGTTTTCTTCATCTCCAGGCCCGGTGAGTCGAAGGAGTTTAAGGATCGGCAGATGCTTGGATCGGGCATGAGAGGTTTGGAAGCTTTTTCATGCACATAATCCACATTAATCCACGACTATTACATGTATCTGCCTTCATTTTCCTGAGAGATTCTCGGAAATGGAATAGTCATCAATCTTGTCGCACCCAAAACAATGAGTGTTGGAGAGCTCATGTCAAATTGAGCGTACCTTTGTTGTGAATGGCGCCTGGTACTCGTCACCCATGGTATCATTTTCGTTTGGGGACTTGTCAATATGACGCCCTCTCCAACGTCTCAGGAGAGCAGTTTCCACCAAATTCTCCGAAAAGTTGCAGAAGCTTCGAGGTGCCAAGGTGAATGGAGGAATGGAGCATGTTATCATGTGCTGCCATTGCCAACAGATTGAGACACAGGAATATGGATCCCAAATCCGCATGGTTGATGGCGCCTGATTTAGCAATCCTGCAAGCCGCATGAAACAAATTTCTGATGGCACTTCACCTAACGGGCCAGTAGACATTCATAAAAACTACTTTGCTGGGACACAACCCGCCTATAAATGGATAACCCCATTCCACTACTACTCTTGTTAGTTCCGCCCCCGTGCAAGTTTTGGCATAACGGGCCACTCCTCGGACCATTTGGTACTGTCAGTATTTGCAAGCACAGAGCAAGCTTCTGGTACACACGAAGCAGGCGTTCCATGACCTTCTGTCGCTAGGAGAACCCTCATGAATCTTGATTATAAATGGAATAAATATGAATAAATGGACAGGAGATGATAATCACATGATAATCACTGCATATACCTTGATATACCTTGATATATCTTGATACTATAAATGGTCAACGTACTCCACAAGTTGTGACCCCTAGCCACCGGGAGGCAACACCGATGGGCTCCCGTGGAAGCTGGGAACTGATCCCCAGCCACGGGTCGTGGTCCGGTCCCTGTGCGATGCCACGTTTCAGGGGGGCAACCTGGAGAACGCCAGCTTCAACGTGACCGAAAGGCTGGGGCTGGGGGTTGAGGTGATTTTTTTTGGGTGTAACCATGGCAATAACTGGCAATAACTGGCAAGAACCACCACAAGTTGGGGTAGAAGCCCTGAACCCCTGTACTATGGCAAATTGCCCACTTACTAGCTGGAACTGCAAGGCTGGATATGGCCACGTTGAGGGGGTGATGAGTAGATACTAAATATAGATCATATAGATTTATGATGATTTATGTAGTAGGCTGTAGTAACAATTGAGATGATTGTACATGTTTGCTAGTCCCGAAAGTTGGCTCCACGGCATACTTCAATGCGTTTGTTGTGGTTTGTTTGTGGGTTTGAGATGGTTTGAGAAGATCCGAAACACCAACCGCCGACCGAAGCAAGAATAGGTAGGCTGCCTTCACACACGGTCAGTGATCCCCGCTGCACATTGGGCACATTGGGCAGAGAAAGGGAAAGCCACTGAGGAACCATCGCAGCTATGCAGAAAAATGGGGCTATGATTATGAGATGCTTTTTCAGAGGCCTGTGGCAGATGAAGAGCCGCAATTTGGCAAGCTTCAGGTGGACAGGGCGCGGCTTATGCGGCTTCATGTCTCACTTGTCATGATGTGGATTTGTTTATTTGAGCAAGTTGGTGTTGGTAAGGGGGCATGGATGATTCTTGACTCTTGGCGATAGATAGATGGTTCTAGATGTATGGGCCCTTCCACTTGGGATTTGTACTTGTGAGAATGTGGCACGCACAGGACCATCCCCAATTTTACTAGAAATGGGTGGTGTAAACTGTAAACCATAATTTATCCATATGATCTCCACTTGGAGGTTTCCTAGGATTGACCACAGCCCCCATCAGCACTACTGCAGGTGGCTTTGGAGGTCCTTTCCAAGGACATCGCCGACTGGTTTCTGTGGCTGGATTGCGATGCCTTGGTGACCAACCGCTCCATTTCCATCGCGGATTTCCTGCAGACCTACTTGGTCACGGAAGATGCCCATTTCGTGGTGGCCGAGGACAGCAACAGCCGGGTGTTGATGGTGCGGAATGGTGCGGAATGGTGCGGATGGTTTTATGTCATGGGAAATCCTGGCCCCCAACCCCTACATTTATCATCTCATCATTAGGAGACGTCAGGCATCAACTCTGGCGTTTTCTTGCTGCGTGGGGGTGAAGTGGGATTGCGATTCCTGAGAGACGCCATGAGCAGCGACTGGCGTTCCTGAAGCTGGAAGGGGTCATTTCTTGTTATGTTTTGGTGATACTGTAACAGTTATATCATGAGTAGAGAAGATACTCATGATAAGCGATAAGTAAACATGATAGTGAGTAGTAACACTAATAATTATGAAAAAGCCAGCTATGCAGTGAGAACCACGGCCTTTTTTTTTTTCAAAGGACTTCCCCAGTGTGGAGTTTGCAGCACTGGGGACCCAGGTTTCGTTTGGGATCAAACCATGCTGTTGCATCAGATGGCCATGGATTCAGATCTCCTGGGCCAAGATATGTGCTCCAAGTGGCGAAAGGGTGAAGATGTGAGCCATGATTTCCACTGGGCTCAGCACTTTCGCGTGGTTCCCCAACATGTGCAGCACTCAGTGGGCTCAGTGGGGGGTTGGGACCGTGGAGCCTCGATATCTTGGAACAGAGGGGCTTGACGTAGAGTTCATCTGAGATTGGCTTCACTGTGTTGATTCAAGGAGCAAATGAAAGATCACTGGTATATTACTGGTATGTTACTGGTATGTTACTGGTATATACCAGTGATATGTCAGTTTGCCGGAAATCACGGTCCTTTCACCATCCAAGTCGATGGGCTTCATGAATTTTCATGTCAAACAACCTGTGCATAGACCGTGCTGTTCCCCAGTGCAGCCGTGAAAGTTGACTCTTACTGAGGCCCTGAACCTCTATGGCGAAGGATCTGCGTTGCTTCCGCATGAGTTAGTATACGGGATGCCGGTCATTTTCCAACACCAAGATTCGGTCATTTTTCAACACAACTCCGTAAAATCAAGCACGGAATTCTCACTGCCGCCAAGAAGGGATGCTGGCTCTTTTGGGACTCTTACACACATCTCGGCGCCCACGCGAATTTTTACGTTTATAGGCTATTTATTTTTTGAATGGATATATGATATGGAATAATGCTTAAAGTTCATGTAACGGTTTTTGAAACTGTTTCGGGTTGGTTTACAGTTTCAATTACGGTTGGTTAAGAGTTTATTCAGGATTGGTTTGAAGTTTATTTAGGATTGGTTCAAGATCTACCTAGAGTTGGTTTAGGACCTATTTAGGGTTGGTTTAAGGTTTGGGTTGGTTTGGGAGCTATTCAGGCCTGGTTTGAGACGTATTTAGGGTTGCTTGGTTTAACATATATATTTGGGGTTGGTTTAGGATCTATTTAGGGTTGGTTTTAGGTTTTGTTTCGGTTTGGTTTAGGTTCTGTGTAGAGTTGGTGTAAGACCTACTCGGGGTCGGTTTAAAGTTTATTTTAGCATTGGTTTAGGATTTCTTTAGGCCTGGTTTACATCTGTTTAGGGTTGGTGAGGGGTTTATTTAGACTTGGTTTAACATATATTTGGGGTTGGTTTCGGATCTATTTAGGGCTGGTTCAGGGTTTATTTAGGATTAGTTTCAGATTTATTTAGGTAATGATGCTTAGGGTTTACTTAGAGTTGCTGTAGTGGTTTTCTTTGTTTTGAGCTTTGTTTACGGCTGATTTGGGGACTATGTCTATGTATTATATGATGATATGTGATGCTTCTTGGGGTTTATCTAAGGTATGAGAAACAGCAGGGAAAAGCAGAGAAGCAGGTAGGCAGAAAAAAGAAGAAAGCAGAGAAGCAAAGAAGCTGGAAAAGCAGAAAAGCAGGGACAAGCAGAAAAGCGGAGAAGGAGAGAAGCAAAGAAGCAGAAAAGCAGGAAAACGCAGAAAAGCAGAGAAGCAAGCCAGCAGGGAAAAGCGGAGAAGCAAAGAAGCAGGGAAAAGCAGAGAAGCTGGGAACCAGAAATCCAGAAAAAAAATCAAAACGGAAGAAAAAACAAAAACTAACCCTCCATTAGTTACTGGTATTTCGGGTTTGTTTAAAGTTTTCTGTGTTTGGTTGAGGGTTTATTTGCGGTTTATTTAAGGTCACTTTAGGGTTGGTGTAAAATCTATTGAGGGACTGTTTCTGGTTCATTTGGTGGTGATTTAGGGTTTATTTTGAATTGGTTTAGAGTTTACTTAGGGTTGGTTTAAGGCTTATTTAGGATTGGTATAGTGTTTATTTATGATTGGTTCAAGTCTGATTTAGGGTTGGTTTAGGGTTTATTTAGGGTTAGTTTGGGGTTATTTGGAGTTGGTCTATGTCTGATTTAGCGTTGGTTTAGGGTTGCTTTGGGATTTGTTTAGGGTTGTCAGAATTGGTTTTGGGTTGGTGTAGAGTTTCTTTAGGGTTTATTTACAACTCATTTCCGGCGTATTTAAGGTTTATTCCGCAAAGCTACACAATGTAGAAACTAATGATCTTAACAACCCAACCAAGAACCTCCGGAAACGAAGCAACACAAACACCGCGGAAACCTACGGGATCACATTAAAAACCCAAACAAGAAACTTCGAAAGCAAGAAAGCAAGAAACCCAGAAACCAAGAGACCCAGAAACCAAGAAACCCAGAAACCAAGAGACCCAGAAACCAAGAAACCCAGAAACCAAGAGACGCAGAAGCCAAGAAACCGAGAAACCAAGAAACCGAGAAACCAAGAAACCAAGAAACCTAGAAACAGAGAGACGCAGAAGACAAGAAACCGAGAAACCAAAAAAACAGAAACCAAGAGACCCAGAAACCAAGAAACCCAGAAACCAAGAGACCCAGAAACTGAGAAACCAAGAAACCGAGAAACCAAGAGACCCAGAAACCAAGAAACCAAGAAACCCGGAAACCAAGAGACCCAGAAACCAAGAAACCCAGAAACCAAGAGACCCAGAAACTGGGGGAACAGAAAGTTAGAACCATGGCGCGTTGCAAAATGAAGCAGCGGCTGCACGCACGAAAATTAGACACGAAGTAACAGCCCTGGCGCATTGAGAAATGACCCCTGGCGCGTTGAAAAATGACAATTTTCTCGCGTTGAGAAATGACCCCTCTTCCTCAGGATGTTACGTTTTCTTGGTGAGAAGTGGTTCGCAAACATTTGCTCAAGCTTATAGATCTTATACCTACGCTTGCACCTAAGAGGCTAAGAGGTTTTGGGAGATGTCGGACATGTCTATATACTTGCGTCAACCTGCTTACTTGAACCGAAATCCTCAGACCGCAAATTATCTGAACATCCATCAGTTCAGTTTCCATTTTCTTGAGAAGTCTTTATCCCACATAGATGTATATAGGAAAAAACAAGATAAAACAAGTTCGGTGCAACCCTGACGTTGCTCAGCGTTGGAATTGCGGAAGGGTTGCGTATTTTGGAAATGCCATGTCGGTGGACTTTCAATATGCAGATGTATATGTGATCCATCATCATCATCATCATCATCATCAGATCATCAGATCATCAGATCATCAGATCATCAGATCATCAGATCATCAGATCATCATCATCATCATCATCATCACCATCACCATCACCATCACCATCATCACCATCACCACCATCACCATCATCATCATCATCATCATCATCATCATCATGATCATGGTCTTCATCATCATCCCGTATGAATTATGAATGAAGGTATGCTGATGCTATTATCAGATTCAGCATATTTGCCACAGGGGGTGAATACTTTTTGGATCCCTTATGAAGATATGTTGGAGTTGATGCCATTTTCAGGTTCAGCATATTTGTCAAAGGGGGTGGGATTTTTTTTTGATTCCTTATGACGATAAATTCATGTTATTCCATAAGTTGATGTTATTCCTTATTCAACATATTTGTCAGAGGGGTTGGCGGATGTTGATCTCTTATGAAGATAAGTGGGTGTGATTTCCTCATTTAACATATTTGTCGGAGGGGGTGGTGGATTTTTGATCCCTTATGAAGATAAGTTGAGGTGATTTCACCATTCAACATTTGTGTCATAGGGGATGGTGATCCCATCCCACATGAGTTGACACAAATGATGATGATGATGATGATGATGATGATGATGATGATGATGATGATGATGATGATGATGATGATGATTGTAAGTGTGGAGCAACGTCCTGGGTTGGACGGAACAAGTTTGTAGATAAGTTTTATTCTTTTGTTTGTTGCCGTGTTCCTTTTGATTTCGGGTGGTCATGATTGGCCCATGATGAACCAACCCCATCTCCCCCAGGTTGCAGTGGGGCGCCTCTGCCTGGCAGCGCGGCGATTTCATTTTGCACCTCGCGGGCTGTCCCTTGGTGGAGCCGCCATGTCGTCAAACCTTCGAAGAGGTGGCGCAGTGGGTGGAGGATGTCCATGCGGTGCATGCAGAGCCCAGTTGAGATGACTTCTGGTGAGTTGAGATGACCCATCTGAAACAGAGGATCAACTGTGAGGAGAATGCGCAACAACAATGTGGAGCTCCAGTTGGTGATCCAACTCATCAAACTGCCATGGTTGGGCTCCAGTTCCTGTTCCCTGATGTTCTGCTAGATGCTGGTGCTGTCACTGCTGAGGAAGAGCTCGGAACCACCTCCAGGATCTGACACTAGAGCCACCGGAGCAGCTGGTTTTCTGAGGCTCTTGCCTTTTAGATCCACAAGCTGCTGATCCACGAGGAGGTGCTTCTCCAGCGGTGCCCGAGCGGATGCAGCATCTTGCAGCGCAGCCGACAACTCGAAAACGCACCTGGTCCTGCCTGGGTCAAAGACCTTAAAAAGCTGGACTCAGTTGCACTTTGGGAAGTGGCCAGTCAAGTTCCAGGTAAAAACCCGTGAAACATAGGGACGATTTCCGCATTGTAGCCGATGGTTTCAACGTGTGGCAACCCAGTGAGGAGGGAGAAACCAATAAACCTAATGGTTTTCCGTACATGTAGTATATTCATTATTATTATGATTAACAATAACTACTATTATTATTATTATTTCTTATTTGAAGCCAAGCATGGCGACCCTGAGCCCAGACTGCCCAGGAGATGCGAAGGGCACGAATGCAGATCTTTGAGTCGCGAGACCATGAGGTGGGCTGTGCATTTGACTCTGGTGTGGCTGGATACCTTGATGACTGCTGGTTATCAGACATGATCAGAAAGCCCAGCTTGGGCACTTGCAACCAACTATATAGGTTATTATTGGTTATTAATAATCCAATTTCTGAATCTCATCTAGGCGGGTCGGCTATCCACACGCTGTGCTGGTCGAAGAGTGACCCTTTCCACAGTTGGCGCATAACAAGGTCAACTTTCGCCACCAGCTGAAGGGCTCAAACTGGGTGAGCCACATCACTGTGTAGAAAACAGATGGCTGGAGACGGCCAAAACTGTCGTCATGGTCTGGCGCTCCAAATCTACGATTTGCTCTTCACACGAGTGTCCAAGAATGCCAAGCATAGTTTTAACGTAGCTGCGTAGCTATTTAGCATGCTTTCCGCTACCAACCCAAACTTCTGACAGCAACATTTCCTGTTATTGGACTGGTATATCAGTCCTTAGCAGTGCCAATTTACATCAATTTACTTCATTGAACAGCCAGCAGGGCCCCAGGGCCGCAGGGCCAGCGCCACCGCCATGGACTCCGGCTACGCGCGCCTTCCTGGGGAAGACGCCGAGGCTCACTGCGCCCGGCTGCTGCAGCTGCTGCAGGGCGGGTCAACCCCCGAGGAGGACGAGGGCTCGAACGAGGCGGAGGGGCTGGAGGTGGCTGAGGCCATGTTGGCCCAGAAGTCCACGGAGAAACAGAGCCCTATGGTCCTGGAGCTCTTGAAGAATCTGCAACAATGTGCCGTGCCTGGGATGCGCTTGGATGCTGCTTGTTGCGCTTTTAGGGAGAGGTTGATACCTTGGTGATTGGATTTTGGGAGATTCTACAACCTTACCAAACGTCATGTTATTATACTGTACGTAGTGGGAGGTTTTTCATTCTTCTTTTCAATCTCATGGATTTCCTTTCTCTCCACGTTTTGCCTGATATCATGCCCAGAATGCAGCAACTTAAACCTGGCGCTTGGTTTTGTGGAAGCTCCTTTCTGATGGAGAGTGTGAGGTCTACACTGACACCCCCAATTCCGAGACGAACAGGAAGCTTTGGAACGCCTACGCGCAAAGCTGCTTGGTATTCACTGGCTTTCAAGACCCACGACAGCGCAGCAACTTGTGCTACTGGTAGATAGAGGAAACAGGAAAGACCCACCGAAGAAGTGAAGAATGAAGCATCGTGGTGTTGATGAATTATGGCGGAGCCTTGCCAAGTCGATGTCATCAACTCCGTCGGCAATTGCATCCCATGCATTTTTCAAATATCCTTATAATTCCCTATATATAATTAAACATACATGAAATGTACATTTACTGTACATACATTGTTAATATGTATTGATCCTATTTTAAACATGCATGAACAATCATGAAGATAAGCACACAAAACTAAAACTAAACACAGAGACATCATTGACGCCACGAAGGCTGGGCCACGGACGCGGACTTCGTGGAGCGCATGTCGCGGCACGTGCAACGCGAGGCCAAGGAGTTGAGCTTTGTGGGGGACGAGTGGTCGGATGCAGCGAGTCTCACAGAGGTCGGAAAGGGATTGGAAAGGGCCGAAAGGCTGGGGCCAATGGAAATCATGGGATATGCTGTAAATCATGGGGATATAAAGCATGATATAGAAATATAGATTGATATAGCCAATTTGCAGTAACTTTCACCTGAGGAATCGGTGATCTAACCCAGAAATGGCAGTTTATTGGGGTTTCATGGCATTTTCGTGGGGATTAAATATGGGGATTTGATGTTAAATCCAATTACCATGGGGTCACACTGGAATAGAAGTGGGATAGATAGTCAAATCTGATGTTTGTCATGGACTATACTCGTACCACTAAATGGACATTTTGATGGGAAAATTATGTTTCCTGTGACCATGGAATTCTGGGGTGTCCTATCTTCAGACAAATCCAAATGCAGCAAAACTGGAATGTGTATGAATCAGATTTACCAGGAAAAGAATTTAACCAACCCAAGGTGATTTAAGCAGGGGTGAACCACTACGGAAAAGGGGGTCGACCGACCAGCATGGATAGAATGGAATTTAGGCAGAAAAGATGGAGAGATGGGCAACATTTGATAAACCTGTAGCAAGATTGGGGTTCAGCAAGTCAATATGTTCATTTTACCAAATTCAAGCAGGTTTGAAAGCACGGCTACCATGGTTTTCTCAACCAAACATGGGTTGCCCTTAGCAAAACCCATCAGTTTTGCTCCGTCTTCCGGACATTGCATGGGTCGCCCCCCCAGGTCTTGCAGGATTGGCTGCTGCCCCATTTGGCTCCGCACCTTGCGGTGGCCGAGGTGGGCAGTGGCGGCGGGCGTGTGGGCGCCCTGGTGGCGCCCAAGGTGCAACGGCTGCCGTGCTTCGACATCAGCGAGGAGATGCTGAAGATGGCCAGGAGGAGCTTGGAGGACCTGGGGCCTGGGGATACCTTGAGGATACCAAGGGCTGGTGCAATGTCTCGTTGGGCTATCTATATAGATTTATCCATACATACGCATGCACATACATTGATTCTACAGTATGCTTTTGGGTTATTCATGGTTGGTCTAGGAAACAGAAAAGGGTTTTCAAACCGAATGCCGCTTCGTATTTGGATTTTGTTCCGAAAGTTGAAATGGTGGGAAGTGGAGTTGGATGAATGCCGGATCGACAGGTTTGATGGACATGCAAAAGCATTTTGCTTTTGGGTTCGCGGCCCCCGTCGTAGTTTGCAGAAATTCAACTGCTTTGTTCATGAGATCATCAGTATCTCAGTTCAGTTCTAAAAAAACACGTCTAACTCCGATAGGTCAGTATGTCATTAGTTATTTGAAGGATGTCGGTTTTAGACTGTCACTTGAGCAAACCTAACAGATTTCTCGCAGTTGGTCTTGGGCGAGGCTGAGGTTTTAGACACCCCCAACCTAACTGCCTGTTGGAGCAAATGTTATAATGTCATGTAATGTGTTGTTTTACCAGTAATTAACAGCGCCCCATTTATATTTGCAACCATGAATTTTATCATATTCTATCCCCTTTCAAATGTTGAAAGGTTGTTAGCCCGGTCACGGGAGCTCTTCCTTCCACCCACTCTCGCAACCTTGCCAATCTCCCTAGACCCTAGCCCTCGGCTCAATGTCAGAACACATCTCTGCGTGTTACACGATATTGACATACTGACTACATGTCAGATAATATGGCACATAACATCTCAGATAATATGTCTGTCAGACTAAATGTGTCGGATTATGTCAGGAACATATGTCATACTGATCGTGGGTGAATCATCATGATCCCCATTGAAAATGACCCAGGAGCTGGGCCATGGAAACGTGGAGTATCAGCTTTTGCAGGCCGATGCGCCGTATCCAGCACAGTACCAGGCCCGTCTGTCGAGTTTCATGAGGAAAATATATGAGGCTTGGAACTTAAGTGGGCTTGGGGCACAAGATTTTCAGACCCAGTTGGTCAACGGCTTGATTTAAAATTTAAGGGATTTTCCATGATTTTCCTGGCTTTCACATGTCTTTAGTTTTTTTACACAAAATCATGTCGTCCAATTGAGTTGGGGGTGAGTTGGGGTGATGATTTTTTGGGTTCGGAGATCAACCTGGGGAGCGGTCACCTCAACATGATTCATCTTCACCCCCAAAATTGGAATGGCTTAAGATGATATAGCAACTAGCTTACCCAGCTTGGACGATCTTGGACGGGTTGGATTCCCAATGATTCCCAATTCTTCCTCTTTATCTATATATACATACATATAGATCCTATAGTAGCCCCCGAAAAGACAGAAGATAGAATCTAGTTAAAGCCGTCACAAAAAAAGTTAATTACTGTAGAATTTCCCCTTTTGTTGTTTTGGGGGTTACTATACACAGACATATATCTATATCTATTATATAATATTATATATATATATATACACATATCACTCACACACACATATGAATATATATATATATACGCTGTATGTATGTATATATATATATATTCCCATGATATTTTCATGATATTTCCATGATATTTCTATCTATTGGACCGGCAGGGCACCTTTGATTTGGTCTATTCCTTCGACGTCTTCGTCCACATGGATCTACATGAGATGCGCCACACGCTCCATGGCGTGCGGGAGGTCCTGAAGCCAGGCCCGGAAGGCAGCAACGGTTGACTAATAGAGGGGTCATCCCCATTGAACAACCAATGGGTAGATGATGATTTCATGGATTTAATCATGTTTTATCATGTAGATTTTAATCATTTTGGATACCCATTGGTTTTATCCAAAGCGTTTTATCATGTTTGATCGATTTTTCCGGGACATCAGGGCATCATTGGGGACCCTGGGATGATTTTCACGAGATTCCCAGATTCGTTTTGGGATTTTCGCACAACGTACGTTCGTGTGGGACGCTCAAACGATAGCTCAGTTGGTGAATAACTGGGTTAATTCTATGGTTTATGGTAGATATAACTGTTTCATGGGGATGATCAACAAACTGATGACAGGGGGACCACCTGGTATCTAGCTGAACCCTTTGCATCCTCACCGCGAAGTCATCTTCAGATGGCTTGATTTATCCAGAATAAACTACTGTAGTCCAATTTAAGCTGAGTTGATCTAATCCATTTCTTTTCAAGTGGCGTTACAGCAGGGTGGACGGCAAGTTTGATATATTTTTGAGGACGTGATTGGCGCCTGAAACGCGAGTTTCTTTTGGCAGTGAAGTATTCTGGTATGGCCGGTATTCTTCCCCAGCATCGTTCTTGTAATGTTCTTATTGGGTTTGTGCCGCCAGTGCTTCGAGAATCATCAGGATCAGCATGGATAACACCGACATCTAAGATTGAATTGACGAAGCCAGCAGAAGGGGATTTCAAATGGGTTGCGGCCATCGTTCAGATGGGCCTCAGGTGGGCTGTTCTTCGTGTCTTTTGCCAACCTGCTGGCGCCAGATGGTTGGAGACGTTTCGCCCGACAGAAACACTACAGCGTGGGCGGCTTTTATTTCATCTCGCCCGACATTGCCAAGTGTTTGCTGCAACATGCCGGCTTCAGCGTCTTGAAGTGCTCCAAGCCGCAGAAAGGTCGGGGCATGTCGGGGCTTACCCGCTGACCAAGAGACACCAGAGGATCCCACTTATTGGGATGATGATTCTTGAGGGACGTTCCTTGTGGATTTTGAGAGAAGTCTCTGTTTGAGGGTTTCTCATAAAATTTGCCTTGGAACTTTCTGGGTTCGTTTTCTGATGTGTGTCCAGCTCTTGGAACACCTTAAAGGTCTGCCTTTGAATGCCTTGATACCCAGCCCCTGAGAGGCAATACCTATCTGAACCGTGATCTCCTGGTGCTCGCCCGGAGAGACTAATGGCTCTGCTCAGAGCGAAAAAATCAGCGACTCTTCTGGCTGTGTCCAGCCTTTCTGGGTGCTCAACAGATCTTAACAGTTCTATGGTGATGCTCCCTGTCTTGGAGCTCCAGGATTTGATCGGCAAAACTTAGATGTTGAAGGGCGCATTTGTATGGATCCAGTCACCAGTCTCACTAACAATCTCATTTGGCCAATATTTCATGAATATATAACAATATATATATATATATTTATGTGCTTTGCATATTATATATATATTATATTATATTATACATGCATGAGTATATCATGATTTTACTACATTTTTTTTTTTAAAAGTATGTATGCCGATGTCTCTTACCGGCCAACATGCCGCACTTCCAATCCCTCCCTGATGTCAGCCACGTCGACGTCAGGTGGTTAATGCGCCGGTTCCGAAGCCGCCGCAAAGATCCTTGGAAGACCATGTCAGAGGCTTGTTTGCACATCCTTCTCTACTAGCACATCCTTCTCTACTAGTGCATCTATATTAACCCCCAAAAGGATAGAAATAGATAGAAAAAGTACTAGAAATGGAAAAAAACATATGGAACGTATTGTTCAGACGTTGTTTTGGTGTTTACTGTTTATATAAGTTGGAATTTCTCAAACTGACAATTTTTAACTTTCTATTGAATATTGGGCCACAATGGGCCAGTACATTCTGCAGATTTTGGGAGGTGAACTATGAAGAACCACCTTGTCATTTGTCCATTGGAGTGGTACCATTGGGGCCCTGGAAGAATTTCTCTGGTACTCACCGTGGTGTTCAACTATGTTCATCAGGAAGATCATTTCATTTACATTGTCATGTTTGAGCCCCCCGCTGTTACCAATTTTAGAAATTGTTTTGCGAAGGTCATTTACTTATCACAAGTTTACAATCCAAACTTTTCTTTTTGGCGAAAAGTAATTTGAAAAGTATCAATATCAAACTTGGAATTCAAAGCCACTATTTGTGGTTTGTTCATCCGTTACGGCTCTGTGACACCTCTGTATCTCAGGATGGCTCGAGGATTTGCGCGCCAAGCTCCAGGGAGAGTTACAGAACAAATCCCAGGAGGACTTGGCTACTGGGCTTCAGATTCAGCAGGTCCCTTTATTGTGGACAGGTGATTTTATACCGCCAAACGGGGTTACTTTTGGACTGACCATCCCGTTTGTTGGTTTCACCCGGTTATTTCCCAGAGGAAAATCAATGAAAATCATCATATCATCTTCCAACTCCACTTTTAAAAGCTTTATTCCATTTGTTATTTCCAAGAGGAAAATCATCATCGTATCATATATGATATCTTTCAAGATTCGAATTCTTAAAGCAGCAGCCATGCCCATTGGCATCATTTCTTCCAGCTGAGGCGAGTCAAGAGGAGGTTCCGGGTGAAGTCCCTGAGCCCTTCAAATCGCCTGCTTTGTTGTGAGCTGAGCTGCTAAACGATGGAGGAAATTGGTTCTGAATGATTTGATTTATTTTATTGTTTTTTTATTGTGGTTTCTTATCATTTTTCTTACGAATGTATTTGCTACTGCAGTTGCATTGTTAATTTCATTTTTGGAGTTTTTTGGTATTCCATTATTACTATCACCGTCGTTGTAATGATTATCATAGTTTTACTATGTTTTATTGCAATATCGTGGTGTAATCAGAATTGTTAGCAATTAGTGTCATCATTATATGCACACGCATATATATATATATATATATACACATGTATGTATATATACAGTATATACATCAATATAATATATATATATATATATTATTGTTGCCAGAATTATGGCCACAAAAACCATAAATTAGAGGGTAACCTTCCATTTTTTCAAAAACATGATTAGTATCTTAAAATAGCTTAAAATCTTCCCTCAGAAATATTCTCACGACATGAAGGTGATGAAATCAGGAATCAAACCTTGTCGAACCACGAGAAAATCTGTTGAAACGGGAAGGCCCACAAACATAAGAAGATCTGCTGAAATGGGAAAACCATGGAACACCCTCAATAAGCTTTCAAGTACATTCACCTACGTCACTAGGAACCATGTTCAACGGACACTGTTTCCGATGGGTGCGATTCCTCCAACCCAGCGATTTTCGGCCGCGGGCTTTTCCCCATGGCCAGCGCACAGAGGCAACAAAAAGGGACAGCTTGGCGTCGTGAAATCTGGGGGGGTATAAATGGATATCATGCATCACTCTACAATTTCACAGCTAAAAGAGATGAATTTAGGGACGTGGAGTGATGGGTTTATACTGGGGTACGCTGCCATTGGAGATGCGACTCCCCATCCTTGAAAATCAACGATGCTACACACTACACACCTCATTGACAAGCGACATGGAAGCCGTACAGGAGATGCTTTTCAAAGGGATCCACCGTGATCCAATCTGCATGATCCAACTTCCGCAGAGCCGGTCAATTGCGATGCTCAGTTGGCAGGTGCAGCTCCCCAGTTCATGTATGATTTTGGCCTAGTGAATATTAGGCAATTTTTCGGATCACCAGAACAGTTACTTTTTCTATCCCAGATTTTGGTTCAGTGAAAGCCAAGGGAGATGTAGGTAGGAAACATCAGGGGAAACCATCTAATTTCATCTAATCATCTATTTAAGATTCTTTTTGTTCGCAAAATCCATGGTATCAAATAGATGATTAGATGGTTAAGTAAGTATCTATCTATTTGATAAAATCCATTGTATCACCTTGTTCCTTGGCTCAGTCCGTCCGGGGAATCCCGCCCCTGCATTTTGGCACAGTTTAACGTAGAGCAGGGGCCCTGGTGGGATGGGTGAAACTGCTGGCGTTTGGTGACGGGAAAATTGAGCGGGGCATGGCTTTTTTCTTAGATTATTCACCATTTATAGATGTTTTTTCCATTAAAATCTAGTAAAATCCTCCATCTATGGATTTCCAATTGCCATGTTTGATGACTGGAGGGTAAATCAAGAATGGGAGGCTTGTTCGTCTAAAGGCTTCGTGCCAGCTTGGGCCAGTCGCACGATCCATGAGCTTCCACCTTCAACCGTTAACCGCCCAATATTATCCAATATTGAATACTCCGGTTTTTTGGGGGACCCCAACAAGAAGAGATCCAAAACTACACTCGGCGTTTAGGGGGGCATCTAAGATAGGGAGTTATGATGAGTCATGAGAGATATATATATATATATATACATACATACATACATACATACATACATACATACATACATACATACATACATACATACATACATACATACATACATATTATTATACGTATACATGTATACGTATAATAATATATATGCATCTGCTGAGAGAACTTTTGAGGTCGGAAACTCGGAACCACCAAGCTGCACCCTGCAGCGATCGGCTCAGACGGAAGCAACGTCAGCGGGGCCTGCGCGGGGTCAGGATGTTCGCATGCTGCTGCGAGCGGGCGGACAAGGATGTTTCTTGACCAAAAAAGGTGGAGGGGGGAGGCACCCACCTGCAAGTCAGACCATTCTAGATGCTTCTGGATGATTTGTATATGATTTCAATCGATTCCAGATGATAACTTTGGATGAATTGCGTTTTTTGGTTCCCGATAATTCGTCAATAGTCAGAAATCATCTGAAATCATCACATATTAATAATAACATCAAGTATATATGATATGTATGATCAAATGATAGAGTCTTCATCAATCAACTGATGCCTGGCCGGGTATCTCTGGGTGATTTCTGGCCGCCGGGCCGCCGGGCCGCCCAAGGTGGTGGAAGTGGTTGGAGGCGTTCCTCTGACCATGTCTGAGGTGGGCCTGAACTCAGGTCTGCACCAAAAATTTGGTAATTTAGTGATTTCCTCCAATAGGAAAAAAACATAGGGAAAACCCGTTTCCATGGTAAAATAGGATCAGTTCCTGACAACTCATCTCTCATCTCCTAACGCCCTTTTTTTCGGGCTTTGATGTTAGTTGTTTGGGGAGGCAAAAACGATGGTGGATTGGATGGTTTTTTTTACAGGATGGTTTCCACTGGTGGCTGCATGTAACGCGGCGACGATGGTGGAATCATGTTTAAATACAGGCGTGCAATTTGATCTACTGTTGTTTTAACATGTTTTAATATTACCTATATTTTTATAGCTTACTTTCACAGGGTGCTTGTAAAACCTCATTTCTACGTGGCTGGGCACATCGCAGAGTCAGGCATGAGATGCAGCGGCTCGAAGTGGAGGTGAATTTGAATCAGAAAGTCTTGTTTAACCCAGCCATGGGGAAATCTAAGGTTGCCATAGGTCCATAGGTTGCCTATTGAATCCTGGCCTGGTACGAGCTCGTTCCCTTATGGCCCTACCCGAGGAGTGCCCAAGCATACCCAGGTTTGGGTGGGCACCCTCACACCGTTGGCCGGGTGTGGGGCGCAAGGTGCCAAGCGACTTTTGGTGCCCCAAAAGACGCTGGCAGTTTGAGGCCAACCCACTGCTATGCTCAGTGGATGACAACGAGACGATGCGCTAAGTGTTCGTTGGGCTGTCAGTGAATCGGTCCGTGGGCACCTGCACCTGCTTTGGAATCCCCTTTCCGATGTGCGGACGTACCCATGCCGTACTTGGACCTTGCAAGGAGGGGAGGCCAACCTTCACAATATGACCCCTTGTCAATTGAGGATGGCTCAAACATGTGGCACCAATGGGTCCACAAAATGGATAGCTTGAGCACTTTATCATTGAGCCATCAATTTTTCCGCATTTTAGGTTTGAGCCATTCAAAATTATTGGTGAAAGGGTGTAAAGCAAAGATTGCGAGCAGAGGAATACCATGCTTTGGCAACATGCCCAGCAGCCCACTGGCAGTTGGGCTTCCAATGGTCTGCCGCCATGTTTGTTTTCGCTGCTGGTATGCGTCAGATTTGGTACTTCACAAAAGGATGCTTGCAACATCTTGCAGCATGTTGAAACAGTGATGCTTGCTACCAACAGTGACCCAAATCTGTGCCAAAGCCCTTCGATTTTGACCCATGCCTATGCTTGTTTTGATACATGATTAACATGAATAACAGCTGTCAATTCTCCAGTAATTTTGCGGGGCATGTCATGGGAGAACCTGCCGGAAGCAGGACGTGCGGATCCCTCCTTGGCTGGTCCAATTCCATATCTTGCATACTTCAGCATGGCTGAGTGGCTAATCACCTCCCAGATGTGCTTCAAGTTTTGCTTGTTCTTGGCAGATTTGGTAGGACGAATCAAAGAATTTTGGTAGCGACATGTAGCGACCGTACTCTGACTCAGAAAGATCCCCCTGACCCCAGGCGCACGAGAACCAGGACCCTGAGGGCAAAAAGGACCTATCCATCCCCAGCTGGTGCCCTTTTGTGTGGGATGATTTTTTCGAGTGAAGTGAGCTGCCTGGGCGCAGGAAACCGTTGAAGATGAGGGGGGCTTGTCCTTCACCTTTGAGCTCCCCAATAAGACCACGAAGGCGAGCCCGCCTTCACCCCGTCGCGCCAAAAGAAACCACTTGTCACCATTTTTTGGGCACCCCTGTTTCTTTGACACAGTATTCAAGGGGAGGCATGGGTGAGAAATTGGATCCCTTTTTGGGTGGCCGGGGGGTCGGGCACCGCTGGTAGGAAGTGCGTTTCTTGGCGAGACCCTTGGGCTTGGATTTCAGCAGATCCATTCCGATGCACGTCAAGGCTGTGAAGCAGGATGCTGGGCAGGGAGCTCTGGATGATTCCCATGAATCCTCATATAACATCATACATGATGTATATTTTTATATGTGTATACACACACATACATACATATATCACACACATATATATATATAATGTAATCTACGTATACATATATGCAGATCGGAGATCACATCAAAGATATATTATGATGACACTAAACATATTGCTATTGGCACATATGAATTGATCCGATTCCGATGAGAGCTGCAGGACTCATTGGCGGCGGCAGCCCAGATCCAACCCAAGTGGGTCATCACCCATGTGCAGGGGGTGGAATTACCCACGGAGCTCCTTGGCGGGGAAGTCGTGTGGTTACCTTTCAGTGATGGGAATGATGGCCGTACATCATGAACTCTCCCAATTTTGGCCGGAACTTTGAGGTGAATGATGATGATTGAATATGATTTATATTGATTTATCTAAAATGTTCTTGCAGGTCCAGAAAGGTGGTCAAAAAGGTTGTTCACCTCACAATTGGCTGAGGCTACACTGCTGCTAATTTGCCTCACTTCCAGGTCAAAAAATCACGAATTCTGCGAATGTCCAGCCATTCTTACCAGGCTTCAGGCATCATCCATGGTTGTGGTTCGTCCTTGGCGCGAGGTTTACCGATGCTATGCACAGCATCTACAACGCTGTGCAGAAGCTTCCCGAAAAAAAATGTGATGCCCGAGCTGGGGACCTAGACGCGAGATGACCGTTCTGGGGAGGCAAGGTACCAAACAGTTTTTGGACATGAGAGGAAAAGGACTATAAAGGACAGTGTCTTTTTAGATCTTTTTGGCTATCTTTTTATTGTTCCTGCATTTCTTTCGATTGCTTTCTTCCTCCTTTTTTAACCTTTTACATCCTTTTTTACTTTCATTGTCCGATTGCTCGGTCTGGTTGTTCTTGTGCTCTTCTTCTTGCTGCTGTGGTCGCTAAAGGAGTGGCTTACCTAGAAGTGAGAAGGTCAAAGATATATTGCAGGTGAAGGCTGCTAAATTTTGATCCCCGGGGTCCTTCAATTTCAATCAGAAGCGAGTTCAAGGTATCTCTGTGAAACTATGTCAAGTCCCATCACCCCCATCCCATTCACATCCCCTTCACATCTGCAGCATGAGGTGGTTCTGGCAAAGTCTCACCCAACGGACCACAGGGCTTGTGCCCGAGACACCGAGCAAAATCCCAAATTCCCAAAGACGTTCTTTGGGGCAACATGCCAGAGATTTCTGATGATTTCTGTCCTGGTTCATGGATGTTTATGGGATGAAAAGACTAAAATCCATCATGAGATTCGGCACCACGTGGCGATTGCTCGGACAACGAGTTGTGCGCCCTGTCCTAGGCCGTGCAGTTTCACTGGAGAACATTTGAATTTTGAGGACCCCATAGGACATATCACATTCGATTCACATTCACGGTGGATATTCCAGGGGCACCAGAACTCACCAGTGAAGCTGACAAATTTCTGAAAGTCAACACCCTGCAGGGCTTTCCACTTTTGGGGCTTGCTGCAGGGATGGAACTCTGGGACTCTCCAGAATTCTCGAGTGGTATCCATTGTAAGCCAGCCTGCTGAGCGGTTGAAGTACGTTTTTTCATGTTTTTTCTCAGATCAGTGAGTTCAAAACCATCAAAACCCCTAGTTCCAGACGCGCCGTGGCTGACTTGTCAATCTCTGCGAAATCGGCACCCAGACAGATCGAAGCCGTAAGCCTTGACCGTCCCAGTTGGGGGTGAAGGAAAACGCGGCATGGACCATCAAAGCTCAGCAAAGAAGTACAAAGAACCTTTTGGGATCTCGGTTCGGAATGGAGGGTCAGCCATGGTCAGCCCACCTTCCGCGCGTTCCTGAAGTCGCTACTGTGACAAAAACACATAAAAACATGACACATATCTCTGTAGGTCAGAGATGGTCAGAGGGGTTCACATATAACACTTTTATTTAAAAAACAGCAGTTTTTCAGCATTTATCAAGTCACCAGAGTTAACAAGGAGCTGACCGCTTTCTGGTGTGGCGAATGTCGTCGAAACGAGAGCCATGCCACTGGTCACGACTAGTCACTAGAAGGAAGAGAGATGAAAAGAGTGTGCAGCTGACCAGGTGACTATCCTGATATATGAAAAATATGAAAAGAGTGTGCAGCTGACCAGGTGACTATCCTGATGCTATTTCATCTATTTCGGTGCGAGAATTATGATGGCATCAATGGCATCACTACTTTTCTCACCACGAGATGGGATTTTTATGGGGAAATCATCCACTGGGGCACCTTGGTGGAAGCATGTCAAGGCCGAAGCCCGGCGCGGTGTCAAGCCGGGTACCTCTGTTGGGCAATGTTGGGCATCATTTTTTCGAAATCTAACGGCAGGAAACACCAAACTGATTCCCAACTTTAGCCAAAGCTCTTATATTTGAGGGGCAGTATGGGCGAAAACCAGAACCCAACCTTGCCTACTACGAACTCTGATGATTTGCGATGTTCGGCGTGGAAGCGAAACACGGTAAGATTTCGGCCACCCCTCAGAGAGACACGGAGGTTTGCTGTTTGCTGTTTCATTTGTCAGCCATCTAAAACTCAAGCTGCAAAGTTCTTGCGCCATACTACGTCACATTGGTAGTGTTACCACATGTTACCACATGTTACCACATGTTACCACAATGGCATTGAAAAAAGTCGCCCAAAAAACACCTTCCTTTTACAGGCCCTCCTGAGATGCAGCGCAGATTGGGCGTCATGAAAAAAGGTGCACCTAACTGCGGCGCAGTTGGTGACGGCGCAAAATTGTGGTAGCAATTTCGCTCCAAATCGGCAATGTTGAAATATTTTTGATAATGTTTTGTATCATGTTGCATCTTTTTTTTTTGGCGCCATCATTCTGACTCATACCGCATACCCATTTGCACAAGGTTCATGGAAGGGTGACAGGTCTTGGAAAGATGTTTGTGAAGTGCTGCGTGTGTGTGATGTGAAGATAGATTCCAATGGATGACAGGAGGCACATGCTCAGATGCTGTGGCTGGTAGAACTATATTGTTCTTTTTTTTTCTTTAATAATCTTTAATATGATGCCAGTATTTAAGCGTAGTTATTTAGGGTTTCAGCTCGTACCGGAGCCGATCGCTGCTTTTGCCATCAAAGATTCAGATGGGAAGAACTCAGGCGGAAATGCCGACTTGTCCTGGCTTGGCCCGCAGCTGATCATCTTCCGGTAGTTGTGGTAGTCGCATAGAAGACTAGCGAAGTTGAAGTGGAAGCTAGAGATTCAACAGCCCCTACAGTAGCTACAAAGTCCCACGAATCCAATTGCTCTTCGTTGAGTCAGGGCTAAAACAAACCCCCATGAGCCGAAACCTGAAGGCAAGTGTTTAGGTTCCAGACACGAACCTCTGACCTTCGGTGCTGTGAAGTCCCGTGCTAGGAGGCCAGGGTGATTTGGGGATGACTTAAACACCCGTTGTGTGGAAGAGAGAAGAAACCAGCATGTTTGACGCTAACAGTCTGGGGAAGCCATGAAATGCGAAACTATGAAACGAGTCAAATTGACATGGAAGTGCTTAGACTTTCACATACTTGCCCCCGGCCCCCGGCCACTATCAAAACAGCTGACATGCACTATATACATATACTTAATACACACTTGGAAGCACAACATTTCAACATGAGTCGGGTTTCCAGTGGTTCCCATTGGTGAATTAGCTGTAGGGCAGCTGCCCAATCCGCTAAAACATGGCGCTTGCATGCGCTTGTGATGTGAGTTAATGTACCTCCAAGTGGCAAATCCACACTTGTACATGGAATATTGCCTGCAACCGCAAATGGATGATCTATGAAGATTCTTTCGGCCATGTTTCATTGCTGGAGGGTGTTCCACATTGATGAACTTTAACAACAGGACTATTCGTGTGGCTTGTACACACTCCCGCTTACGATTTGAACATGGTGGATTGAAAGCAAAGAATGATTTTGTTTTGAGAACTCATCCTTGCCTTTCGGAATGTATTATTGAGGCTCCAAGTCGTGCTCCCTCCGTTCCATTCCCAGCATTTCCCAGCATTTTCCAGCATTTCCCAGCATTTCCCAGCCACTCTGCTACCCGATCTCTCCGATCTCTCCGCTGCCGGGCTCTGTAGTTCCCCAGTTCCTATTCAGTGCCGTGGCAACGATGGAAATCCTTGTGGATCATTCCTTGGGAATCCCCACCGATGCCATCCTTTCGGTGCGATGTGGTGGAACTCGACGACAAGCACCGATGGAGACCATCTGTAATCATCCACTGAAGTTCCCACAAGGACTAGGCGCATGTTGGGTTGAGGGTGTTGAGCCATGTTGAGCCATGTTGAGCCATGTTGAGCCATGTTGAACCATGTTGAGCCATGTTGAGCCATGTTGAGCCATGTTGAGCCATGTTAAGCCATGTTGAGCCATGTTAAGCCATGTTGAGCCACAATTATTGAGCAGTGCTACTGGAGCATTCGGAGCATTCGGAGCATTCATCTTGGCAATCCCTGTTGGACGGGAAACCCTGGCCCCCCCAAAATGATGGATCCTGGTGGCTCCTGTCTCCGCCAGGGGAGGTGGGTGAGCCGTTGAAGATTGATCTTCTGCAGCCCTTGGCCTCAGCCCGGCTGGTGCTGCATCCCTATGAGGACCTCTACAGCATCTCTTTCCAGGAAAAAGGTGGTATGCTACTAGGGATGAAGAGCCTGGGTGCATTGGATTGGGAAGTGGACAAAAAAGTGGAGCCGAGTTGGAGATGGAAGGTGGCACCAAAAAAGCTGGGAGATCTATGGCCTATGGATACCTAAATTATATTTGATCATATTTGATCATCGTCATCGTGCATGCAAATCAAGATCTACTCAGAAATAGATTAGATCAGAATATAGCCCCCGAACCATCCCGAAACCACCCGTAGAAGTTCATCCCCAACTGGGTACATGGCGGGTTCCCAAAAAGATGACGGGAAACTCTGCTATTGAAAGGTTTTTTTGGGGACGGTAGATTCAATGGATTTAAGGATATTTAAGGCCGGTTTGTGAAGAGATGTGAAGAGTGTCGTTGTCAATGGGCGGAGATTCCTTTCTGCGTGCTGCCGCAAACACACGCATCCACGACGTGCCGTTTCATGACTTTTCAGAGGAAGGCACAGGCAAAGACTTCTGCAAGCAGAAGGGTGCTGCGTTGCCTTTTCGTGTGAGCGGGTCGACATGGGGACTGCCAAAGAAGCGGCATCAACAAACAAACTGCTGAGCTAAGTTTCAGAGCTAGGTCGGATCCCATATGTGAGATCAACAGCCCGAATGTAAGGAATTTTAATTTCAGATGAATCACACCCCCCGGAGAAAAAAAAAATCTTCCGGTTTCATTGCTGCAACCTCAAACAAAAACTATACGAAAAGGGAAACCACGCGAAACCATGGTTTGAGATATTTTTACGTATGGGGATGAGTCAAAACCTATTCGTACTATATTTGGGGAATAAACATCCATTAACCACGTTAACCAGCTATTTTAGAATATTTTAGGGTACCTAGGGTGCCAGGGTTTTGACTCAAAGCCATATCTTTTTCAGATCTCAGCCTCCGTTGCCCTAGGATGTCCCCATCCAGTGCGCTGAGCGCCGCGCAAGCGGATGCGGAACAGGCGGCGGCCGAGAGTCAAGGTGCAGCGCAACTGGAGTGATGATGGGACCATACTGGGAATACAATGGGAACATCGTGGGGAGAATGACCATGAATGACCAATACAATCGGGATAGAATAGGATGAACACTTAAAATCGGATAAGAATTGGATGACAACTGTGTCTTCAAAAAGAGTAAAATTACATATGCTTAGTGATATTAAAGAGACTTTACTGTGGGGCCATGAATAAGGTTGAGGCCAAACAAACTTCATCGGACCCCCATGGAGTCAGGCACATGGAAAGCTGTCTGGGAATGGAGACGGATACTGCTTTGAAATTTGAATTCATTCTAAGTTGACTTCGACTTGGTTTGATCTGGTTTGAATCTGAATTGAACTTGAATGGAAATTGTTTTTGAATTGATTCTAACTTGAACTGACTTACTCAAATTTGAACAAAACCCGACTTTGAACGTGAATGGGTTTGCCAAGTGGAAGAATGGACAATTAATGAGCACAGGGGTTGCACGTGGAGTACAAACTTGGCTAGTGGTTGAGTGCTATTAACTGGTCGCATTTTGTAGCCAACCCTGACCTTCAAGGGTCGAAAACTTGGCAAAATCAGAGAGAACTAAAAGGATCACAATCCATATGACCGTGGCCTGCTCTTGGCTTGAAACTCTTACCAATGGACAACCAAAAAATATACCTGTATATTTTTTATGGATGGATTCAAACATGTTGACACCAGCCGTCACAGCTTGGGCCATTTGGGCCTCCAGCTGCAGGCAAAGATGCGGCCAACTCGGCGAAGGATTACTTAGAGCAGCATGGCCTTTTGACGCTTGGCGTGTCAACTTTACATGAATTCTCATGAATGCTGGGGGTATAACATGTTACAAAGTTATAACCAATTTATAACCTATTTATTGGTGGGATAGGACATATAAGATCACCAGGTTTATGAAAGCCACATCTAACAACTTGCGATTCGTGAGATGACCCTCCACGTAGTGAATGTTTGATGAATGGCTGACCTGGCAATTTTCTATGGGGAACATCATAGTAGACACATGTAGACACTGGAACCATCTACTGTAGGCAGGTCAATCACGTCCCAGCCATTTTGTGCAGCTCAGGAAGTATGTGCAAAGCTTGTTGCATGCAGTGATCCAAGCGAAGCCTACGGACCCCTATGCCTATATGATCGAGCAGTTGAGTGCTGCTCAAAGCTGCTCAGCCCAACGCTTGGATGGGCTTGGACGGTGGCACAGGGGATTTCCAGTTCATAAGAGGTTTGAATAATTTTGGGGATGCATTTGGCCTGGCACATCAACAGTAAGATTTAGCGCATGGAGCAGGGTGAAAGAATAGATGAAGATAGAATACGTAGTGCAATGCAAGAGTGTACCAGTCATCCATACTTGTACGATCGCACGCGTCCCTCCACATGCCATGGTACAGCTCCGTCCTGCATTACTCTCACCCAAATCCCCAAATCTGGATATGGTTCAAAATTGGTCATTGATCCATATTGACCCTGTCTTCATTGAAATGTGAACCATGATGAACCATCCAATCAACTAAAAGTTTTCATGTTCATCTTTATCAACCTCCACAGCCGTGCCATGGCCTTCCCATCCCGTCCAGGCAAGAGACCCACCTTGGCCGACATCGTCTCGCGGCCGGGCAGCGCTGTGGGTGCCCGGCGGCCGCAGGACGCCGCCGTGGCGCCGCCGCCGCCGCCGCCGCTGCCGCCGAAGACACAGCCACCGGCCGAACAGGTGCAGATGGATGGAGTACGATGGAATATTCAACAACAAGAATGATAGTAATATATTGTAATGGCTTATATATATATATATTACATATGCTTATATCATCATTACAATTATGATCATGGAATTCATGATAATGATTATGGAATAGAACATGGCTGGGGAGAGAGAGAGAGAGAAAACATGGCCGTATCATATAATTGTAATATAGAATGTGGCAATCCATTGCAATGATGTCATAGTCATATGGTTGTATAACATGGTCGGTCACACATGGCTATGGTCATAGGAACAACGCCACGACACAGTGCAGGGTCAGAAACTATGCACTGATTTCTTGGGATCGACCGATCCTGGAGTTATTCGTTAAAGGTGACTTGCTTCTTTGGGCGGAAAAAGGCGGGATGGTTCAGACTTCAGGTAGTGCGCTTCTAGGAAGTGATGTTTGGATAGATGCCGGACTCCCAAACTGCTCAATGTTTGCTTCTGATTGAATCGTAGAGGTGGGACCTTTCAGCATTGGGAGGCTCACCGCGCCAAGCGCCAGCTAGTCATTCAAATTAAGCACACACACAGATATACATGCATATGTAACTGTATATATATATATATATTATATACATATACATAAAACATAATACATTTTTCCCAGTGTGCAGAATTTTTGCCTTTTGAATCCTTTTGAGGGAGTTCTGCCTTTTGTGGTGAAAAGGCGGCTTTACCCGACCAGATCTATGGGTGAAACTGGGTTTACTTGTTTGAAAGGCATCGCCAAGCTGCAAAGCAACTGTTTGACAACAAAACAGGGCAGTAGCACAGCCCACCCTTACTTACCTGGAATGTATATATCCTTGGTTTCCTATCTTTGATTTTGGGCTGTGGCCAATGCAGGGCATTAGGCCCAGGCATGGTCATTTGGATCTCTCCCGCAAGAATGGGAAAACAAATGCTTTGAATTGGGTTTTGCTGGAATTTACCATGTCTTTTTCTAGAAGTTTGTAACCCTCAAAAGAAAATAAACGGAGAGGGCGACTTTTCCCCGACCAAACGGCGACTTTTCGCGACCTAAAGGCGACTTTACCCGACCAACGTTTTTGATGCATTATTTCCCATTGGGGCAGCAGCATATTCCAGTTGAAGCCCATCCATGGCAAAATTCAAACATGTTCATGCCAGAGCAAACTCTTGCAATTGCAACAAGCCGGTGTGTCACAGCTGAGGATAGGAACATGAAATAGTTTGTGTAAAATAAAACAACAACTCTACTGGGATAGCTTGGCTAAACCAAGAAATGCATTGGGATAATTTGTACAAGCAAAAGAACTTGTTGGGATAGTTATTGGTTAAACTTAAGCCAAAAAATGTGGTGGGATAGTTTGGGCAAACTGAGACATATATTTAAATGATTGAAACTGTATTAAGGTAATTTGGGTAAATCAAAACATGTCTAGCAGAGCAATTTGGTTGGGGCAGTTTCGGTTTCATGATTTCCCGACAGGCGATTCTGAAGACAAAAGGCGATTCTGAAAAAATCAAGCAGAAATTTCTGCCTTTTAGTAAAAGACAAGAGAAAAAAAAACATACCTGGAAGATCCAGGTATATATATATACATATATGTATAATAATATAATATAAAACATAATATATATATATAATTATATATATAATGTATAGCGTAAGCCTCCCAACTTTGAAGGTCCCAAGGCTTCCTACCCACTTCCACTTCCGTTGCCCAGCTCCGCTAGGTGCGGCCCGTTCCTCCGGGCGGACCACCACCCAGCAGCTCGCCGCCGGGCCGTCCCAGACCACCTGAGCGGGAGCTGGTGCACGTGGATCCAGCCCCGCGGCCCCCGGAGCCCCCATTTGCCATCCCGCCACCCATGGAGACAGTCACCAAGCCAGTAGTGGGCATCCTGGCGCTGGTGATGATTTTTCAATTTTAGACATGATTTTATTTATTTTCCTTTTTCTCCAACTTCCTAGTCGGATCATAGTCGGATCTGGATGTTAGTTCACCGTAGAGGGGAAACTTGACTCAGTTCCCGGCGAATCCAAGGCATTGGACCAAGTGTCATGGATGTTGAGCCAGCACCTTCGGTGGATTTGATGGACAAGGAGATGCCAGATGACAGCTTGGAACATGTTAGGTTGCAGCTTAAGGGACGACTGGAGGAGGCTTTCCGATCTGGGACTTTAGAGGAGGCAGTGCGGAAAGCCATCGACCCAGAGGCGGAGATGGACAAGCCTCCAATGCCAGAGGAAAGCCTAGATCTGCCAGGGGTTGAAGGACCTGATGAGGAGATCTGCGGGTTGAAGATGCAACTCAGGATGTTGCTGACTGATGCAGTGGAGCACCTTAGCAGGAAAGTTAAAGAGCTGGAAGAACATGAAGGGATATGTCAATTAACGTTGGGCAGGCCCCTGCAAAAAAAATGACATCAAACAAATTCAATCAACATCAAAAAACAACATCTGGAAGCTGAAATTTGGGTCCTAATGGGGTACTGTCAGTATTCGGCTATATTCAGCTAGATTTGTGCTGGGTTGCCATGTGAAACTTCCTGCGAATCAGTTAGATTGCTCTTTAGCAGCCACTCTCTGAGAAACCAAGGACCAAAGGTTTGCAGAAAACCCTGGCTTCGGTGCGGCCGCCTGCTTTCGAAGAGGAGTTGAATTTAGAGAGGTCGAGGATGACCTCATCATGCCAAATTCATCCAAATCGACAGGTTCTTTTGGTTCTCAGATAGGCCAAAAAGGGAGATGCCTCCCAAACATCTCAAATTCATCAATATAATCAGATCCGTTTCTACAATTACATTTCCATCTGCCTGAGAGCATCTGCAGCCGTGATACGTAACGAGATTATATGTTTACCGTATATATACATATATGTATATATATATATATGTATATATATATAAATATGTATATATATATATTTGTGTGTGTTTCTATGGCTCGATGCCGATCAGTCAGTGCGCTTCAGGAGCCCCTGAACTTCGCAGAGCCGGATCCAAAGCTAAGTCGAGAGCTTGAAGCGCAGGAGAGCTTGTATCATCTCAAGCAGGACATGCGAACCAGATTAGAAGGTTCGAGTGGGCTCAGGGGTTCTCAGGGGCGGGTGATGATGGTTTGGGGATTTCGAAAATGGTCGGTGGAATATGAATGGCTAGAAACTTTCAAGCCTTCCCAAGTTGAAATTCATGTTTCCATGATATCACCGTGGCCTACATTCCCGCATTTCAAGTTGGATACCCCCACCAACTGTGAGTTCTTCCTGCAGGTAGTGGTAAGATTCCCATGGTTGTTGGTAGCCTCCCGCTTGTATCTTATTAAACACCCCCATTCTTGTTACTGATCAGCTGAAATCCAACTGTGATGATCATTGTTTCTCATGTTTCTCGCCGATCCACATATGTTGGCCGGCTGTGTCCCATCCAAATGCATCCAAATGCAAACACAATCAGTTGCTTGATGTTACAGATATGTAAATCATTGAATCATTGATCAGACACCCAGGTTATGCATCCAGTTGTTCCTTCCATCGTTGATCTCTCATATGCTCATGTCATGGGCGCGCAGGTGCCTGCGAGACGGGTGAACTAACCAAGCTTCTACCTCCAGGTGCGAAACTTGGGTAGTTGGGTAAATATTTGGGGAACGCAGATATGGTAAGAATGAGTATCAACACTAGATTTTCCATGGAATTTAATGGGGTTCGATGGGATTTACTGTGATTTAATGGGATGTATGATGGCATATGAGAGTTACCCTCTGGTTATTTAACGGTTTGCGAACTGGAAAATCACAATTTTAGGAAACGGTGAGTCATCACATTCATAATCCAAATCCAAAGTATATAAATGGGCCGTGGCTTCACTGTGTCAAATAACCCGTGTGTGTGTGTGTGTGTAACATCTAAATAGATGTAAAACTTCTCCTTTTTCTTTGTTCCCTCCTTCTAGCAAGGTTTGTTAAAATCAATGCAGGGGGACACAGCATTTCACGGGGACTGTGTCCAACGAAGCTACCAGTGAAATGGGATATCCAGCTTGGCCAGCTGGACGTACCTGCAATACGATCATTTCAATCTTACTGATATGGTAAGGGGCTAAGCTGAGAACCCCAACAACAATAATTTCGTGGTATTTTCGGATATGGCGAAGGGCTAAGCCGAGAACCCTATTGCGACTATTTTCGTCATGTTGGACTTATTTGATGGCGTTTCATTATTTTGGACCTTATTTGATGGCGATTTTGGTCACGATGGTCGTTTCGGAGTGCCTTCTACTATTCCAATGATACTACGCAGGTTAATTTGTTTCCCATCGAATCTGCATGTGAAAGGACTCAGTTCCTGATGGATCACTTAAAAGATCCAATTTTGTCTAGTGTGATTCCTATGGTGGCTCCGACATGGTGCCATAGGGCCATATGAGGCAACCCCGTTGTGGGCGAGTGTTGACTGACTGGATGTCGGAATTGACATTTTTAACCTGGTAATTCGTGGAAGTAAAGTGGAACAGTTGGCCTTTCTTTTGTCTGCCTTTTTCGAGATCCCGCTGCTCCTGCCGTGTTGGTGACCCTCGCCAATTCCAACTCTACGGACGTGCAGCCGTTCCGAACTGCCAGAAACTGTTTTTTTTTGCAGCGCAGCTTTTGGAGTGATGTACAATTGAAGGCACCAGGCATGTCTCTTTCCTGCATGTGTGGTCACTTTGGTTTCTGGTGAGGTTGAACATGTTGTGCACCTAATTCGACGGACTTTGAATAGCCGTTTATGCCCATGTGGCTGGACTTGACCATCGTCCCTTTTTGGGGACAACGCGCGATTATCTAGGGTTGAACTGGGTCCTTTAAGTTTAATGGTTCTGGTTGTTTTACCCTCGTCACCAACTAGGCCCCCATCGGTCCCTAATTCTTCCCCCGTGCCCCTCTGTAATGTGCTGTGGGGTTTAGATGTGTGCCCTGTGCTGGTTAGGTCCGTCTCGCCGTGTAGGTTGGTTCTGGAGGTCCGCCTGTTCCCTTCCCCCCCGCTGCGCTGTTTTGGCCTTTTGCCCGTCGTTTGTGTCCGCTTTTTTCTTCCTCTTGCCTTTCAGGGTTGTCTCGGCTCCGGCCGGGTGTGTGTGTGTGTAACATCTAAATAGATGTAAAACTTCTCCTTTTTCTTTGTTCCCTCCTTCTAAGGGTTGTTAAAATCAATGCAGGGGGACACAGCATTTCACTGATAGCCAGCTTGGCCAGCTGGACGTATCATTTCAATCTTACTGATATGGTAAGGGGCTAAGCTGAGAACCCCAACAACAATAATTTCGTGGTATTTTCGGATATGGCGAAGGGCTAAGCCGAGAACCCTATTGCGACTATTTTCGTCATATTGGACTTATTTGATGGCGTTTCATTATTTTGGACCTTATTTGGTGGCGATTTTGGTCACGATGGTCGTTTCGGAGTACCTTCTACTATTCCAATGATACTACGCAGGTTACTTTGCTTCCCATCGAATCTGCATGTGAAAGGACCCAGTTCCTGATGGATCACTTAAAAGATCCAGTTTTGTCTAGTGTGTGTGTGTGTGTGTGGGTTGTTTGGTGCTATTTTGTTGGAACCATTATAAACTCACCGAACTCGTGGGCTGCGAACTGCTGCAAGAGCCCCAGAAATTTTATTAGGGGGGCGCTTGGTATTAGGGGTCCCCAAGACCTTCAATGATAAATCCCCAAGTCGCTTTCAAGAAGTAATTCGCATTTTTATCAAACATCTATGTATTCAAACATCGCCAAAAATATCCAGCAATTGATAGCAATGGATATCAGAAATCAAACACGCTACTCAGCGAAATAAGATGTCGCTTCAAAAACTAATTCCTTTTTAGAATCTATTCAAATGTGTTGTCAAAATAGGAGTTTGAAGGGTTCGTTAATGAGAAGACAAATGCACTATTTAAGATTAAGGGAAAGCGGAATCTTGGGACGCCAATAAAAGATCACCCAGTGCCATTTGTATGCTTTACTAGGGGGAATTGATTTTTAGACGGGCTAATTGAGAAAGCCAATTAAACACAAACCAATTTCCAGAATTTGGAGAACTCGAACCATTTTTTTTTGGGGGAAAGGGGGGCGGGGACATTTAGAAATAAGGGGACGTGGATTTTATAATCACTCGACGTTGGAGTTTCCAAATGGTGTTTAGAATGCTGTACTTCCATCTGTCATCATGACGATGTCCAATCGACTTGGAAATCAATTGTGTTTTTTTCTCGGGAGGGTGGGAAAAAAAACCACCAAACAGTTCAGTTCTATTTTTTAATCAACATCACCAGACTTCACTAATTTTTATACTGGTTGGTGGTTTGGAACATTTTGTATTTTTCCATATATTGGGAATGTCATCATCCCAACTGACTTTCATATTTTTCAGAGGGGTAGGCATACCACCAACCAGTATATAATCCTATAAATCCCATGAATTTACCACAAAAACTCCAAAAAATCCCATTGATCTCCCGGCTGATCACAAAAACCAGGTCCGGTTGCGAACGTTGCGAACGCGCCCATGGAGATGGAAGACATCAAGGACAAGATGCGTCAACTGCTACAGAACTCCGTTTCGACAGGCCAGATGCCAGAAATGGTGGGCTTGGCAGATGGAGATGGTGAAGTTGTGTGTTACTTGAGATATTTTCATAGGTTTCCTAAGTCCTGGTGGTAGCCCCAAATCATTGAACAATTGGATTTTACACATATCCATTTTGGGGATCCCCCATTTATGGAACCCCCATATTTTTCTGTCTGGAACGATGCCCATGATGTTTGGTGTTGCTCGAGGGCTGGGCTGATCAAAATCATTTTCGCCTCTTGGCCACTTGTGAGTTTCTGGCAGTTCTGAGACTTCTGAAACTACCATCCCTGATGGATGTGACCGCACCAAAACTTCGATTCTGCATGGATTCTGCCAGGATTCACGATCTTTTTTCATCTTTTTTCGCTGCAACCTACGTACTTGTAACTTTAACTTCATGTCAGTGCAGGGCCAAAGTCCCATCGGACAGCCCGGAGCAGGGCCACTTCCGGTTAGAAAACGCTGGTTGATTGAGATTCCTTGATTCGCCAGCCAAACATTTCAACGGCTGGGAGGGGCCGTTGCAGTTCTGATTTCTTCAATGTGTTGAACACCACTATTGGGTGAATAGTGGCCTCAACGCAGTACAGAACTATCATTTTTTCACTATTGCATTCCCAATTGTCACTGATCTAATATGATAAACCATGATAAACCCATTTTAACTCCCAGATGTTCGTTGCCAAACTGCAAGCTAAGTCCCGGAGATTATACATATCGCTTACATATTGACACACGCTCTTTTTAAACCCATCTATCTATGTAGCGGTTTGTCTATCTATCCATCCATCTGTCTTATCTTTTCTTACAGTATCTTATTTTACCTTATGCTATCTTATTTTGTCCATTACTCTATAAAGACTCTCGCTCTCTCTCTATCTCTATATATATATACGATGATGCATAAAATTGTATATATAATAATATATATATATATCATATATTATATACATATCATTATATATACAACTATTTATAATGATATATATATATATATAAATCATTTTCTGTATATATATATATTTCAATGTATATACATACATCGTTATATTTATATATATATATATCATTATTTATACAATCTTAAAACATATCATTACACATATATACATATCGTTATATGTAGAATTGAATATATTGATATACACACATAATTATATATACACACGTATCACTGTATGTATAAATATAACGATATATATATATACGTATCATTATATATATATATATCGTTATATATATATACATCTTTTTGCCTGCGGACCGAAAACCGTTCCCGTAAAACGCACGTTTTTCAATATCGCGGTTGCGCGGTGGAGTGGGGTGGGGTGGGGGGGCATGTTAACGTTCCTTGTACTTCGTACATGATATATTGCCATGCTGCTGAGATCTCTGGGATCGTTTACTACGTTACATGTTGCTACGCTGCTGATGGGGTGGGGTGGGGTGAGGTTGGGGGGGAAGCAGCGGCATGTTAACGGTCCTTGTACTTCGTACATGATATATTGCCATGCTGCTGCTGGGATCGCTTACCTTGTACTTCGTTGCATGATATATTGCCATGCTGCTGATCTACGTTACATGTGCTGATGGGGTGGGGTGGGGTGGGGTGGGGTGGGGTGGGGGGTCATGTTAACGTTCCTTGTACTTCGTACATGATATATTGCCATGCTGCTGAGATCTCTGGGATTGTTTACTACGTTACATGTTGCTACGCTGCTGAGATCTCTGGGATCGTTTACTACGTTACATGTTGCTACGCTGCTGAGATCTCTGGGATCGTTTACTACGTTACATGCTGCTACGCTGCTGAGATCTCTGGGATCGTTTACTACGTTACATGTTCTATGTGGAATCTGATGAAAAAGTCAATTCCCAGCAACTTGAGTGCCAAAAGTGACCTCTTGATGGTGTATGCTAGAGCTTGGCAATGGAGATGCATTCACAAGAATGCTGACTGCCAGCTGATAACGGTGCATGCGTTGCAGCGATGACGCTGAAAAAACAAAAAACGCGCCCCAAGTTTTTCTAGGATTTCCAATCATCAAATCAGCACGGCACTGTGGTAAAATCACCATTTTTTTTTAAAAACGTGCGTTTTATGGGCACGGTTTCCGGTCCGGCGGGATCTTTTTGTATTTTTATCAATATATATATATATCACTATGTATAAATATATCTTTATTTAGATATATCAATATATATCTAAATATTGTTTTTTATATACATATCATTATATATATATACAAACCATAATATATAAAATCATTCTATATATATATATAATCATTATTATATATAAATGAGTATATACTTATATTTCATTATATATATATATCATCATAACTCATAATATATAGATCATTTTTTAATTTTCATATCATCATATATATATATATATACACATCATTATTGTTCTCTCTCTCTCTCTATATATATATATCATCATGTATATGTCATTATATATATATAGCATTATCGACACATATATATATATCATTATATATATATCATTATATATATCATTATATATATATACATAATTACACACATATATATATACATAATTATATATATGCATCTCATTATATACTTATACCATTGCATATATATATACACATATATACATACATATCATTATAAAGAAAACATCATATATATATATATGTATCATTGCGTATCATGGTAATTCATTCTATATATATATTATATACATACCATTTATGTATCATTATATATACATATCATTATATATAATTATCATTATACATATATATATATATCATTACCCATATAACTGCAACTTCATTTGTTGAGACCCTGGACAGGTAGCTTGGAGCAAAGCCTCGAGAAGATCAAGGCGAATCCCCCTCAGAAGGGGTGCTTCAGTGCGGAGCCTTCGGCGGAACCGCCAGCGCCGGCGCCACTGGAGGCATCGCGCTTCGCAACTGCGCCGGCGAGCTGCGAAAAGGTGGAGGTGCCGGGGCTGGAAAATAATGGACTTTGAAGCAACTACAACTGGTGATGCAAACACTACTATGCGCCCACTTCTGATGACATTTGTTGTTGTTCTGGGGTTTACCGCATTAACATGTTGTACTTGCTATAATTGGCGGGTGGTGGTTCCCTTGAGTACCCACGGTTTAGTGGCATTGTCTCTTGACACATGGATACTGGATATCTATGGTGGGTTTTTCATTGTCAGGTTAGGTTGCCACAGAGTATCCGGTCAGATGGAAAAACAGGACCCAGTACTTGGGATGTGCCACTTGTAGGAGACCCAGACGAAAGCGGCAGTTGCAATGCCAGCGCGCGTCAGAGATGAAAGCAGCTGGGGCTGAGCCTACAGCATGTCCCCAAAATAATAGTCAGAGAAAGGGAAACACCACCAACATTTTCGGCACATTATTTTGGAGGAATCCTTGTTTCATGTTTTTTTGAATGCAGCATTTTCTCATTTCCTCAGAGAAAATGATGAAAATGCGAGACTCTGTGCTGCTCGGAAGCCTGGCGCCGAGGTTATGCAGGTTTGATCCTCCAAGCGTCAGGCCAATGGTTTTTGAACGGCCAGCTGGGCCGCTACGACTTTGATGATTCCACTGGCTGGCTCTCCCTGGGTGATGTTCCGGTGGGACGTTTCCTCTGCAAACGCATGCAAGAGACCCCCTTGCGCTTCCCACCTGAGAACCACTTCTCCAAACTCAGAGGGAATTTGGGGATCGTTTCCTCCGAGATCATGGCGGAAATACATAAGAAATCGAGGCTTGGTTTTGTTTTAGTTTGCCGGGGTGATCCATGGACTTTGCGAATGGTTGGTATATTTTGGTTTATACAATTGGATGCAATTGATGCAATTCATAGGATAGACGCCAGTTGCCCACAATTTGCCGTATAACTAGTATAACTTCTGTAAGGTGTTCTATTTCTGGATGTCTTGAAGATCACCTTCATTTTGTAGATGCCTTTTACTGCCTTTTGCCTAATTTTGCAGGCCCCTTGAGGCCTAGAGAGCCAAACTCAGGAACCGTGGAGCTTTGTTTGTGATCCCTTCCCAATTCAATGCTGCGGAGTATCCGTACCACACGGATGTGGTCTTCCATGTAGAGGATTACAAGCACGAGAATGGCAGCGGTCCTCGAGGTCAACTGGCCGTTCACCCAGCTGTTGCGCAATTCCTGTTGGACAATGCAGCTGGGCGGAGCATCTCATCGCCTGTGACCCCAATGATGATCCGATGTTTGGGTTGTAACCCTGAGAGTCCGAACCAGGGAGAGAATTGTCATTTGCCTCTTCTATATGCCTGTTTTTCCTGATTGCCGGTGAAACTCCGTTTTTCTTGGTTCACTGGGTTCAATCTCAGTTATCTTCTTGTGACTGGTGATTCATACATACTATCTCCGCCACATCCCCGCCTTTACAACATCATCCCTTATCATCCCCAGTTTTGCTGCATCCCAAGCTTCAAAAAAAGTAAATTGAGGCTTAAGGTATTACCCACACCCAGGCCACATCCAACCCATCCTTAGCCCAGGCCGCCAATGTGAAGCGCGAGGGTGGGATCAACGCACTGGACGAGGTGCTTCGGAAGGTGCCAGGCCTGGAAATGGTCAATGGCCACCTGGCGAAGCGCGGAAGGGGCAGTGCATGGGGATGTCGCCTGTTTCGTGGTAGAATCAATAATTAATCAATCAATTGTTACCAGTACCGCACAAGGCGCTGGCGGAAGTTTCAGAATAGGAAACCTATAGGACCTATAGGAGAGCTTGGTTGTTGTGAATCATGAATGGGAGAGCGAATCCACTGATGGACCGAAAGGTGCATACATACATAATCATACATACATGATTATATATGTATATATGATAATTATGATATGATATGATATGATATCATAGATGAAGGGTTTGGTGTGAATTTATTATTGGGCTCCGGGTTCCATGGGATTTTGATGGATTTTGCAGGGCCCAGAAATCGGGCGGCCTACTTATTCTGGTCACAAAGCCGGTGGATTTTTGGTTCCAACTAGCTATGGCTGTCGTGTTGCCAGGTGCCAAGGTATTGACCCATACTATATATATATACTCGTTCTTTTTTTTCTGTGGGTGTAGAAGGGATCGATTTGCTGCTCATGTTGGATCCCTTCAAACTGTTGGATTGCTCCCAGCTCCTCTTTCATTTTGCTGGCCATTATGGATGCTAAGCGACTGTTCTGAACCAAGGAGATTTCGAAACTTTCCTGAAAACTGGGGAGCAATTCAGAGCCTAGTTGCCCCAAAAATCATTGGGCCCCTTTACCATCCTTTATCCATCATGCCAAACGCTTTGGTTTCAATGAGAAATCGCAGTCCTCATCCAATACTATATTATAATCTGCGTAGAAATTGAATTGGGGATTCCAGTGCTAAAGAACACCCAGGAAGATTGAGAATATCAGGACAAACTGGCGTATCACCCCAGTAAAGTGGGCCGGAAAAGTTTGGCCCTTACCCCATTCATGTCCCCATTCATGGGAAAGCCTTGCGTACATTCCCATCATCCAAAGATCCAAGGCTACCTCCGAGTCGAAGATTTAAAGAGCAGCACCTTGTGCAGATGCCTGCGAGCTGGACATGGCAAAGGAAAGTGCCCAAATTGATATCGCCCCCCCTAAAAAAAGGCTGATATCATTGGGTATATCATTTAAGGGATCATGGGGATTTTTAACGGGATTTAACCATCAAATATACATGGTTTTAACCAGTTTAATGGGAATATCATGGGATCATACCCCGCAACTGACAGTTTGACCTTGAGAATTGCCAATGATTGGAGGACAGAATCATCTTCCGAGCCCCTGGCAGAGTCTATGGAAGTTGGGGATGTTAAATGTTGGTCGATGATCTGACTGATTAAAGATGGGGATTGTGATGGATCTGTTGGATGGTCATAGTTTTTTGGCACTGAAACACCTGCTGATCCCCATAACCAGCCATCATACCGAGTAGGATGAGTAGGTTTGCAAGATGTTCCAACAGGAAAGCAGGGCGCGAATGGCAAAGTCTTGACTTCACCTTTTGAACGCCTGGGGTTTGGAATGTTTATATGAGATGTTTCATAGGTTTCCAGATGTTTCCAGGCGTGGAATTCTGTGGATATGGCGCCCAAGGTAAAGCTCAGGAAGAGACGCTGAGGAGTTTGCAGGAAAATCTGCACACCTTGAATCTCGGAGAAGAAAAACCTTGGGCAACTGACCAAAGCAACATTTGACCATGCTGCGAAATGATGGGTAAATGGCGTGTAACTCCAAAGGTCAAGCGGAATTCTGGATTGTCAGTGGCAAACTCTACACTTGCTACTCTTGTATTTGGAACTGCGCCAGTCAGCTCCGATAGAATCATATGGAATATTGTCAAATCACCAGTCGGGGTTTGTAAATCAAACTTGAGAATCCCGCTGCTATCCCAACTCATTTAGTCCAGCCGCCAACGAGCATTCAGCGGCACGCCATTTCGATCAGGGCCCATAACATAGACTATACACAGACTCACTCTCTCATCTGGGTAAATTAGAGTGACCTCCCTGTGACCTCACTGGAATGATGGTTTAATAAGGTTAATTTTAAGTTAATTATCCAAAAAGACATTAGTTCGGGTCAGTGAAATATTCTAATTTACCCAGAGAGATGTTTTCCTTCCATATCTCAAGTACTTAAGTTAGCTCAGTGTTTGAAAGCTGGGTGACCGTAAGTTCTGCGACTGGAGTTATGCCATTGAGAACTGCCTGATCAGTTCCAGTGATAGCGTTCTAAACGGTGGTTTATCCCTGTCATTTATATACTGCTGGTTGAGTTATATGTGTGTAAGTATGCATGTGCATATATACAGGATACTTCATACCATTCCCAGCTATTTATCATTAGGACATGCTCACATCCCTATGTCCCTCTGTAACAATCGTCGTGGATCCATGGCCTGGTCCTGGCTCCGTCGCAGTCGCCTAGGCGTCCACTGGTCATGGATGAGATCTCCGTCCAGGGTGGTCTTACGGCGGACCAGAGGGACTTCAGCAGATGCGAACACAAAGTGGGCTTCGTCTATGCTTCTGCCGTGCCAGTGGATTCCTATCTGATCCTTGGACTCCTTGGACGTTGATGTTACGACGTTGTGAGCCCCTGCTGATGAGATGGTGTTTGAACAGATATAAAGAAATGATGGAAGAACAAAGGTCCGAGTTGTTCGTCTTTGGATTTTTTTTTTTAAATCTGCTTTTCTATCTTTTGGAGGATTAGCAATTTTGACGATAAAACGCACAACATTAAAGGATATCGGAGTAGATCAGCACTGGTTCAAGTTTATCTGCCATGCAGAGTCCTTTTCATGCCGTGATATGCCGTGATTTTATCACCTTCAATTTTGGAATGTCGTGCTACACTGGTACCTTGGGCATTTTAAATCTGGCCCTTTTTTCTTTTCCTAACAAAAAACCTAACTTCCAAAATCATCAAATCAGTGAACCGTCAGGAACCGCGACGGAGATTCGGAGTATCAAATGAAGGTGGCCGAGCTTTTGCTTGTCGCCCAGTACTATGGCGCCCTGCAGCTTGGTGGTTCAGCCATGGGGAATTGATCAGAACTCACTTTTGCGACGTAAGCGATGATGGGAAGATGATGGGAATATGATGGGAAAAACCGATTGGTGAGATTTACAACATCAGATTCACCAGATGGGGGGTTGAAGACTTGAAGATTATTCTGATGGCAATATTGTTGGAAGATTATAGGAGCAATAAGGGGAATATGGTAGGGGTTTTGCCTGACTGGTGAATGGTTAAGCTTTAAACAAACAAATATCATGGGCCCTTAAAACACCGAGAGTGTAGATGATCCTCCCATTAAACACCATTATAACATATTATAACTTGATTGTTAAATATTTTTAAGCCAACAAATATCATGGATGTAGAAGGATAAATTTGGGTAAACCTCGGTGAAGCCAAAGGATGAGACTTCAGAAGTCGTTCTTGAGCTGTGCACTCGGTGACACTTTTTTGGGTTCTTACCAGTTTGTGTTTACAAAACTACCGGCTTCACTTTCCTTCGATTTCCATCCTAATTTCATCTAAATTCAATTAAATTCATCTAAATTCATCCAAAATCTATTTCCCTCCATTTCCATTTACAAACCTAGTACTGCCAAGTGACTTCAAACTCTCCAGGCCACAAACTCCACCGAACCGCCAGGAAATACGCGGCGGAGTCCATGCGGGATTCGGGGCGTTCAGGGCGCCCTGCAAGCCCAGGGAGACGTACGCGGAAGGTGTATCTGATGCCACTGGGCACAGGCCTAGGGTTTGCCGAAGATTTTGCTAGAGGATTTGTAATATAAGTAACCCACAATACATTCACACAGATTTCCTATTTGTATAATGTGTATGTATATATATAGAGGCAAATATATCAAGAAAACCAAAAACACACATAAAACATGTGTATACATAAATATGTATGTGCGCGCGCGTGCGTCCTGGTATGCAAACACACAATAGCCAAAGAAACATCCGGGCCATGTCTCAAGCATCGGGTTTGTTCCAATGTCATCCGCAGTGAAGTTGCCAGGTGTTTTCCACAACAGTTGGGAGATGATCGCCAAGAGCTTCCTTGCTGCAGGGATTCGTGTTTTTTGTCAAACAGTGGATGTGGGGTTTGGGATTTTCAGCAGGGTTGCCAGTTTCCTCAGTTTCAAACGGCAACCGGGGCCATCAAACATCATCAACCCATCGGGCTTTCTATGGGGTCAGCCATGAGGTATGGCCAAAGCAGTCCAGATGCTCGACAGCGAGATGATTTCCCAGCTGGATATTTCAGCCTTGGCTCGGCAGGGCAATCCCTCTGAAGAGCTGAATCTGCAGGTGCAGAAATCGGGGAAGCGTAGGGCATGTGTTTCCTAAAGTGGCAGCGGTGTTTCTCATATTTTGGAGCTCGAACTCATTCGAACTCTCAGATTTCATGGTTTGTCCGGTAGTTGTGGGATATGGATGGATATGGTGCAAGGCCCAAAGGCCTTCCCAGCCTGGGGTACAGTGCAGCGTGAGTCGTCCAGCTCGTGCCAGGAGACCTTTTATAGACTCAACAAGAATTCCGCTGTCAGCCCCTCAGTGATGCCATGAAGCAGCAACCCCCCCAGGGCAAAAGTCAAAAGCTCCCAATCTTGAACAGCTGTATTATACAAGCAGGAAGTCTTATGAACATCTATGAAATATTCAGCCGCACTCCGCTGCAGTTTTTGGTCGGGGTCACAGGACGACAGCGTGGAATCCACGAAAGTCATGCTCCGGGAGATGCTGGAGAGTGCCGCTGAGACTTGGCGCTGGTTTAGACACTTGGAGGTTTCCGAAATCATGGGGGTACACCCAATTCATTTATTTTAAATCATTAATATAGGATGTTCCATTCACAACCATCCATTTTGGGGGTCCCCCCATTGGATGGAAACCTCCACCTCGGGACCCTGATGACCCCTAGGGCCCTCAAAATCCACTGAAAAGGGTTGTTGCAGCAGGGGAAGTCGATTGAATTCCCTGGTCTTGATGGGCCGGTTGGGACTTCATGAGGACTGGTTGCTCAACGCAAGCTCACTGAGAGTCTTCGGTTTGTCTTAAACGATCTCCTAGAACGAAGGGGCGACCCTTTGCAAGAGGTGGAGGGGTCCTCCAAAAAGTGAGAAAGTCTATGCCCTCGCTGGAAATGACGACCAAATACAACTACAAATTACAAGGCCAATAGCACCTTTCAGAGTCATAGACTGAAAGACAAACAATCAACAAGCAAAAGATGTTCTCAGAGAGATCGCCTAGGAGAATGGGAAGCTGCAAGCCACCATGCGGCAGCTTGAAGGGGAACATCGATCACGACCCGAGTGATCCAGGCGCTGCGTGGGGGCGGAAGCTGATGGACCCCATCAGTTGGACCAAGGGGCTAGAGAGAGAGAGAGAGAGAGGGGTGCCTTGGAATTGGCATGGGGAAAAAATATGGAAAAGATGGAAGGAACATGGAAGGAGTCTCTTATTTCAAACCACTTAGGAAATCTTGGAAACCAAACTCAAAGCCGTTTCTCGAACAGACTAAGTCATAACAGGTCAAGTCATTTAACGTGGAAGGCCATCAGCTCTGGGGCATGCTGGGACGCCGGCAACACGATCTCGTCAGGTGCCGAAGGACCTGTTGGATTTCAGGCCGAGTTGGCATCGGCACCTTAGCATATTTAAATCAAATCTCGGGGCGCACAGAACCGACTGACTGGTTCCCGCAAATGGAGCAGAGGATTTCAGCAATTGGAAATAATGATGAGAATAGGAGATGATGCTTATTGATGCTTTGATTTTTTGGTGCGGTAATGCGTGGCATTCAAATATTACAAAGCCTTTGAAGTTAGAAGAAACACATATAAACACTAACACCCAACACAACAGTAAAAAGTTGTGCGCGCCCTGGCAAATTGTATGCACTGCATTGCTTGTTAAAGAACTGCGCCAGCGTTGACCATCCAATGGTCAGTTTCACACTGAATTCATTCGACCACCAGTGTCACTCGCAGATTGCTGGACCCAAGGCAAATATGATGAAAGAGCTCCATGCCCAAATAACCCCCATTTTCGACCATGCTGCCATGCTGCAACCAATATAAACCATGACCAGATGTTTCAGGGTAGGGCATACAGTGGCCAAGCACTGTCAACATCTGTCAACCACATCTTCGCTTGAGGGCCCGATGCCAATGATGATGCCACCATGGGAGTGCTTAGCTCAGCACGTTTTTTTTCGGCGAAAGCGACCAGCGGTGGTTCACCGCTGAAGCTGGTGAACCTGAGGCGGCCTCCTGGACCCTGGAGCGAGAGAGGCTGGGTTTTTTCCCTAGGACATCCTACAAAGGAACCCAAGTGACATTTACCATTGACATCCATTGACCAGGTATTTTCTCAGGGGGAATCATGATGGTACTTTGATGACAGGTTGGGAACCCCTTCAGTGAACATCATGCCATGATCATTGGCAACCGGTGCATACTCACCAGTCATGGCCAGACATTGGAGCAAGATTGCTAATCCTAGCCGCCGTTGGATAAATGCTAATATCGTACTCATACCATACTGATCAATCTTATAACTTACCAGTAGTACCGCAGAAGGTGGTGGCGGAAGTTTCAAAAATAGGAAACCGATAGGAGAGGTTGGTTGTTGTGAATCACGGATGGCAGAGCGAAGCCACTGATGGATCGAAAGGTGATTGATCTCTCTCACTCTTTCTCTCTCTTTTTCGCTCTTTCTCTGATTATCTACCTACCTACCTACCGATCTATCTATCTATCTATTCTATTCTATTCTATCTATCTATCTGTCTGTCTGTCTATCTATCTATCTGTCTGTCTATCTATCTATCTATCTATCTGTCTATCTATCTATCTATCTATCTAGCTATCAATCTATCGCATCTGTCCACCTAACTATGTATCTATCTGTCTGTCGGTCTATCTATCTATCTATCTATCTATCTATAGCTGTCTATCTAGCTGTCTTTCTATCTATCTTTCTATCTATCCATCTATCTACCTATCTATCTATCTACCTATCTACCTATCTACCTATCTACCTATCTATCTATCTATCTATCTATCTCTCTATCTCTGTCTATATCTGTATCTAATTCTATATCTATATCTATATCTATATCTGTATATATGTATCTACATATATATATATATATATATCTATATCCATCTATCCATCTATCCATCTATCCATCTATCCATCTACCCACCTACCTACCTACCTATCTATCTATCTAGCTATCTAGCTGTCTCTCTATCTATCTGTCTATCTGTCTATCTATCTTTCTATCTATCTATCTATCTAGCTATCAATCTATCGCATCTGTCCACCTAACTATGTATCTATCTGTCTGTCGGTCTATCTATCTATCTATCTATCTATCTATAGCTGTCTATCTAGCTGTCTCTCTATCTATCTGTCTATCTGTCTATCTATCTTTCTATCTATCTATCTAGCTATCAATCTATCGCATCTGTCCACCTAACTATGTATCTATCTATCTGTCTGTCTGTCTGTCTATCTATCTATCTGTCTATCTAGCTGTCTTTCTATCTACCTTTCTATCTCTCTCTCTCTCTCTCTGTCTGTCTGTCTATCTGTCTATCTACCTGTCTATCTGCAAGCTTGAAAACGAAACTATTTTGCGAGACCTCCTCAGGTTTTGAACTTGACAACATCAAAAACGGAGCAATGCTATGACACTTCCTCAGGTTTTGAACTTGACAACATCAAAAACGAAACAACTCTACGAGACTTCCTCAATTTTTAAACTTGATAACATCAAAAACGAAACAATTTTACGAGACTTCCTCAATTTTTGAATTTGACAACATCAAAAACAAAGTAATTCTGCGAGACTACCTTCAAAAATGGAAAGTTGAGTGCAGCGCTTACGGCCTCGTACCAATGCGTTTTGTGATTTTTCCACTCCACCTGTCTAAAGTACTGCGCCTGCCACGAAAAAGTGATGCCAGGTCATGCGAAGTGCTGCACCTGTCACGCAAAATCATCTTAACAAACCTGCAGATCTGATGCTCCAAAATGCAACCCCTCTCAGGAAATCAGCGCCCTGACCTCCTAACATCTCTGATGAACATGTCTTTTGTACTGCGCCTGCCACGCGAAATGCATCTTTACAGATCCTCTTCAAATGTCCCACGCCTGCCATCGTTTTTGGAAATGCTACAAAACCCTCACGCTTTGCTCGTTTTTGAGAAGGTGCACAATCCCTTGCGCCTGCCACGGGAAACGACATCTTAACGTCCAAAAGCGGTCCGAACCCCTGGTGTTTTTAACATTTTGACTTCGAAATGTGCTTCGCGCCACAACGGCGTGCACTTTTTCGACATCGCAACTTCTAAAAGTGCTCCGAAGCTGAGGTGTTTTGATTGTTTTGTACATTTTGACTTCGAAATGTGCTTCGCGCCACAACGGCGCCCACTTTTTCGACATCTCAACTTCCAAAAGTGCTCCGAACGTGAGGTGTTTTTTAGCTTTTTCACTTGCAAATGTGCTTTGCGCCACAACGGCGTGCACTTTTTCATCTCTCATCTGGCCAGATGGCTCCGCACCCGCCGCTTTAGCAAGCCTACTTTTCGACCCTCCGGAGCCACAAATCATTGGAAAAACCAAATGTTTCGTGACTTTCCTACCTTTTCGCGCATCTGAGCTTCTTTCTTCTGACTCTTTCTCTTCTCTGATCTTCTCTCTTCTACTCTTCTCTTCTCTCTGACTCTTCCCGTCTCTGCTTTTCATCTGTCCATATTGTCGGAAGTTTGACTTCTAAACTTCCTTCGGTTGCAGTACCATCAATTTGGATCAATCATACCACTGAATACCATCACAATACCAATTGGATGATCAAAAAATTGCCAAGCCTAAATTCTAACCAAGTGCAATGAATTGTATACTGTGTGCCTAGAGAATCTTATGCATCATTATCATGTGCCAAAACCCAATGGTGATCTCTGCGCCTGGCCAGGCCGTCCTCTGGGCCCTCCGGCTGGTCATCCGGGGCCATGGGCGGGTCATGGGCCGCGACCTGAGGACGGTTTTTGAAGCAACAGATATGGATGGAAACGCGCCCATGGATAAAAATGGATAGAACCGCAAACAGAAATGTAGATAGAATGTAGACTGACTATGAAATAAACCCCAACTATCCCCAACTAAAACACCGGAAGGTTCCCTCCAAACATTGGACGATTCTCTTGTAATGAAAATGGCCCAACATGCAGCGGTGCGCACCCGTGCTAGCCTGAGGTGCGACAACTTTGGACCCTGGGGTGCGCCTGCATGGGTGAATCTGTGGTTGTGAGGGGAAACTTTCTATGGCTGTAGGTCCACATTGGACAACTTATATTCCTTTACAGAAAAGGACGCTGTCAGGTCCCCATTTTTCCACGTTTCTGTGAATGTAGTGTTGTTGCTATATCATTTTCGATCCTTTATGTTCATATACCTGTGATGGTATTGCTAGAGATCCACACAGATTGTCAGACTTCCTCAGGGGTTGCCAAAGAATGTCCAGAGAGTCATGAAGGTCCTCAGGGAAAAGGAAGGAGGAAAAACAAACATAGTATGTGTATATATATATATGGCTTCCCTTAGGGGGAGAGGTGGCCAAGGAAAAGAAACAAAAAAAACATGGGGGCTTCTCCCCTCTCCTAGCCCTCCTATTTGCATAGCCTCTCCCCCTGATGGCCGGCTACGTCTCCTAGCCCTCCTATATATAGCCCTCCTATATACATTGATGGACTTGCATTTTTCTTAGTAGTACTACTGTATGCATCTATGATATGGGTGGTACATAAGTAGCACATACCAATACGTACACATATTTTCCACATGTACTTTGCGTATGTAATGGAATTCTTCCAGGATTGATTGCAATAAAGACTCTTTGGTTGCAACCGACTTTGCTCATAAGAGTTGGCACATGGCAAGGACAGCTCCAACTTACACTTTCCCCAAAAATATTTTCCTGTATATTTCACAGTAATTTGCTATGCCACTGCATATCTAATCCAGGTACCCTGTTACCATAATTGCTTGGCTGTGCTTTTATGATCTTTTATGACAGGATGAGTAACATCTAAAAAGAGGTAAGACTGTTTATAAAACTTGACAGAAAACAGCTATGACATAACACATGGGACTAGGAAGTAGCAGCTCCCAGAATGCATTCATATGGAAAGGAGTCCCTTCTCCATCCTTTTGATCAATACTCACTCTTGTTCTTAGTTCTTTGATCTGTAAACTGTATGAAAAGTTTCAGGGGTTGTTTGTGCTTTAGTGGGTGAATGGTTTCAACCAGTATGCAAGCGCATTGTCGCAAGTGTGCAGTACTAACGCTAGCGTTAAGTCGTATCAGCTTGTAAAAGTCGTATCGGGAGGCCGTGCGCCTGGAAAAAGTTCAAGTTTGGCATCACCACAACTTTTAGTAATTGAACAATTTCATTGTTTTGGGGCCGTGCACTTGGAAAAAGTTCATTTTTTTTTGTGTTGATTTTTCCCCACCTGCCAGGTGAGGGTTGTTAGATTTTATGTCAGTTGCCTCCTCCTCCTCCTCCTCCTTCTCCTCCTTCTCCTCCTCCTCCTCCTCCGCCTCCTCCTGCCTCGTCCTCCTCTCCTCCTCCTCCTCGTCGTCCTCGTCGTCCTCGTCGTCCTTGCTCAACCACGACCATCCACGCCCAGTGTTCCCTGCCGGACCTCAACCACGACCATCCACGCCCAGTGTTCCCTGCCGGACCTCAACCACGACCACCACGACCATCCGCGCCAAGTGTTCCCTGCCGGACCTCATGTAGGAAGATATGGGACAAAGAATGTGCAGAAGAAAGTTAGAAAGAATGTCAGAAAGAATGTCAGAAGATATGCCAGAAGATATGCCAGATAGAATGCCCAATAGAATGCCAGATAGAATGCCAGAAGATATGTCAGAATATATGCCAGAAGATATGCCAGATAGAATGATATGCCAGATAGAATGCCAGATAGAATGCCGAAGATATGCCAGATAGAATGCCAGAAGATATGCCAGATAGATATGCCAGAAGATATGCCAGAAGATATGCCAGAAGATATGCCAGAAGATATGCCAGATATCAGAATGCCAGAAGATATAGAATGCCAGATAGATATGCCAGAAGATATGCCAGATAGAATGCCAGAAGATTTGCCAGAATAGAATGCCAGAAGATATGCCAGATAGATGCCAGATATGCCAGAAGATATGCCAGAAGATATGCCAGAAGATATGCCAGAAGATATGCCAGAAAGATATGCCAGAAGATATGTCAGAATATATGCCAGAAGAATCAGATATGCCAGATAGAATGCCAGAAGATATGTCAGATAGAATGCCAGAAGATATGCCAGAAGATATGCCAGATAGAATGCCAGATTGAATGCCAGAAGATATGTCAGATAGAATGCCAGAAAATATGCCAGAAGATATGCCAGATAGATATGTCAGAAGATATGCCAGAAGATATGCCAGAAGATATGCCAGAAGATATGTCAGAATATTTGCCAGAAGATATGTCAGATAGAATGCCAGAAGATATGCCAGAAAATATGCCAGAAGATATGCCAGTAAGAAAATGTATAAACGTCATGGTGGGGATCACACGAAGTAAAGTAATTAAAAAATATATTTGATCATTCTTTCAAGGGGGCGCTGCTTGCCTGCTGCTTGCCTGCTGCTTGCCTGCTACTTGCTGCTGCTTGCTGCTGCTTACCTGTTGCTGCTCACCTGCTGCTCACCTGCTGCTTGCCTGCTGCTTGCTGCTCCATGCTGCTGCTTGCTGCTACTTGTTGCTGCTTACCTGCTGCTGCTCACCTGCTGCTCACCTGCTGCTCACCTACTGCTTGCCTGTTGTTGCTGCTGCTTGCTTCTGCCGAAACAGAAAATAACAATCTCGGTCGCCTTGTTTGGCGCTGACGGGAGGTACGGGCGGGAGACACCAGCAGAGAGAGGGAATGTTTCTGGCTGGTTGGAATGAAACATTGCGGTCGCATAGCGCGGTTGTGTCGCTGTGCTCACCATCTGCGCCATCTCGCGCCATCTCGCAAGACGGCGCAGACGACAAGACGGCGCAAGACGGAACAGACACAACAGAAGGCGCAGACGGAGCACCGACAAAACCTGCCACGCTTTCCGCCCGCAATGGAATGAAGGTTTTTTTCCAATTCGTAATTCCTGGGTGGATAGGACAACAAACTTCTTGAGAGCTGTCCACGACATTGATGCACATCGCGCCAGCCATAGATTTGGTTGCGGAAAACAAGGGGCCCCCATATCCTTATATCATCCTAGATCATAATCCTGCCAATAGGATTTGCTACAGCTAACCCACTTGCATTGCAAGAAATTTGAGGCTGTACCAATAGGGGTTTGATTTGGTCACGCGACGCAGGACATCAATATAATACATTCAAATCCAATAGGATTAGCTGCCGAGAATCTGTTTGTATTAACTTGTGCCCTTCAAAATCATCGCTGTGCGCAATGATTCGGCTACCTTTAACTACATCTCCAAGTATGGATGAAACAGGCTGTGCCATGGTGATTCTTCTTCCCTGATGTGACTTTCCACTACCTGATGTGACTTCTCCGTATCGCCGCCGTGCCATGGGGATGATGTGACTTTTCCCGCCTGATGTGACTTAAGTACGGTGTTAGTATCAGTATATATATATATACAGTAGAAATGGCAGCTTCGAACATGCACTGATATCTAGAGGGTATTTTGTGATAAAAGCAACATTTTTTTTGCAGATACCATAGCCATTTGCTGTGTCAACACATCCAAGCTGCATATGCACTTAGAATGCAACTATTTTATGTATACATTTTCTTATATAGCACATACAGTTATGGAATGGGTGGCATATAAGTCACCTATGCCCTTACAGGCACAAGTGTTCTACATTTTTCCTGCATATGCAATGGTATTCTTCCAGGTTTCAATGCAGTAAAAGATCTTTGCTTAAAATATTGATGGATCACAAGAGTTGGCAAATTCCAGGGGCACTTCCATTTCCCCCTTGCTTCAGCAAAGTCATTTTTACCTGCATATTCCATGGTAATTTGCTGTGTCATTGCAAATATAACGGCAAACATTTTATTACCATGAATGTACTCATGGCTGTGGGCAAAACTTAAACTATGTCAGTATAAATTCATCATGGTAACCAGAAGGGCACAAGACCAAGTAAAGGAAACACTTAAGCAACCTTACTAAACAACTGTATCTATAGAATGGCTGCCTTGCTTTTCATTGATGCAGCAAGTTACCATGAAGTATGCAAAAAATGTAACTACTTGAGGAGGGACAGTAGATTGGAATTTGCACTTTCATTTGCTAAAAGAGTTCCGCTGGAACTATGATGTCAACCAAAAGGCGACCTGGCAGTCCAATATCAAAAACCACCAATGCAAATACAACGTGCTATGTATATGTATATATATATACCGTCTGTGCAATAGCTGTATACCTAGGTGGTACCTATACATTAATATATACATGAAGTACCAGCTGACACAATGAATCTCTATGTTTCGAGATGTTGTTGGGCAAAGAACTTTGCTATTCATGCACTGAGACCACCTATCAAAAAACAATAGAGCTACAAAAAGCAAGCAACCAAGAATAGAGCTAAGGATTAACAAACCAAAAACAGCACATCTCCCAAGAACTTTGATCTTTCATATATGATCAAAAGAGGAAAAATAAGCATAAAATAGTCAAACAACGCTTAAAACCACGTATTTTTGGGGACCTGGTGGCGTCCCACTCTCTAACTTTAATCCCAGAACCATAAACCCAGCGTTGTTCAAGTTCTTTCTTTTCCGAATTGAAGATGGAAGAATTTGAAAAAATGCATTAGCATCAGCGTCACTTGATGGGTATATGTGCCATGGTCAAAAGTTGGATCAATCCACAGGGATTTTAATAGCAATTCACTCTGAGGATGCCCATGGGATGGAAGACGTAAACCATATGCTATTTTCTTGACTGTAGCACATATACATATATATATATTATATTGTATTACATTATATTACATTACATTATATTATATTATATTATATAATATTATATTATATTATATTATATTATAACACATTATATTACATTACATTATATTATATAATATAATATTATATAATATAATATTACATAATATAGTATAATATAATATAATATAATATTTTAATATATTATATAATATTATATTATATTATATTATTTTATACTACATTTTTTTTTTATATTATATTATATTATATTATATAATATTATATTTTATTGTAACACATTATATTACATTACATTATATAATATAATATAATATTATATAATATAGTATAATATAATATAATATAATTTTTTAATATATAATATAATATTATATTATATTGTATTACATTATATTATATTATATTTTTTTATATTATATTCTATTCTATTCAATTATATTATATTATTATGTTATATTATATTATACTATATTATATTATATATATTATCTTATATTATATTATATTATACTATATTATATTATATATAGTTGAGGTGTTGGCCATACTTGACCCCTCAAAAAGCCTCCGCGTTTTCCATCGGTTTCCTCGAGGTGCACCGCCGTTTCCTGATGGGCCTGCTGCCCAGGTCTCCCATGCCTTGCAGCATGTGCCCAGATGTGGTCCGAAATCGGCTTAAATCGGCTAATCTATTGCTAGTCACTTTGCGAAAAACCACGGAAAAATGCCTCGCACGAGAACATCCGTGGTCACTTGAGGCATCCAGGTCACTGGGGGCCCCGCGATGGAGGCGATGGATGGAACCTGGGATACCTGGGCCATGCTAATCAAACAGGGCAATGGAAAACCCACCAAATCAATTAGGGGTATTAGGGGTATGATTGAAATAGGAATAGCAATAGTCAATCATAGTTAATAATAGTTAATAAATGTTAATAGTGCAAATAGTTGCTAATAGTACTGAATGATAATATGTTACCATAGTTCATAATAATAGTTCCCATTGCGATGATATGTTTGCCATGTTTCCATGTCAAACTGCATCTTTTTGGGTGCAGAGGCTGCGGAGCACCCTGGTTTGACGGACCACCGTCAGGAGCTTGGGTTCCAGTCCCTTGAACTATACAATATAGGCCATAGGTTTGTTTTGATATTGGGTATACCCTGAAATAAATATTTTTTGGGGAAACTGATGATAAACCAATGGATTTAGGGCTGCCATATTTTCAGAGAAACCGGTATGATTGAAGCGCACACATGTAATGCGTGTGTGTGTGTGTGCATATTGTGAATCTCAATATCTATTTCTATTTAATCAAACTATTTCTTTGTTTATCTGGATAGATCTATATATCTATCGATCTGATCTGATCTGGTCTGTTCTGATCTGATCTGATCCATCTATATAATCTTAATCCTAATCTAATTGAGTCTAGCCTAGTACAAGCTAGTCTAGTCTAGTCTAATCCAATCTAATAAAATCTCTCTCTCTCTCTCTCTCTTTCCCTCTTGGTAGTCCACATGTGCGCACACACAGAGACAGACACCTAAAATCATCTACATGAATTCTATTACTATCATTTAAATATAATCATATGTGATAATATGCAATATCTACATTTCCATGTCATGGTGCTCCAAGGCCCAGAGGTCCCATGGGCTCCGGCTTTAGCCACGGCCCCGACTGGCGGCCGCCTTTCCACAGTCACGGTCCGCCACACGGTCCGCCCGGCCCAGCGTACCCGGGAGCAGGTGTCGATGGGGATCGGATGGGAAATGGATCTGTAAGATTCATACCAAACTTGGCTGGGTAGCCACATGTCAAGAAAAAACACTTGAGTGGTATTGAACTATTGAACCGACTTAAGTAAATGGCGATGGAGGGAGGGAGGGAGAGAGAGAGAGAGAGACAGAACATTTTTAAATATCATGGTCAAATCCAGCTCGCTGGCTGTCATTTTTCTAGATGGTGTATAACGACCTCAGTGGAATGAGGGTGGTATAGTAACATATAGAGTAACTATCCTTAAAATGACCTTCAGCTGGTGAACGATCAATCATGATCGTTATTTGGTGTTGTTTATCATTGTTTATCCAGATGTTTCTTACATGTTTCCTTTTTCTATTAAACATTTTTCACTCAACAGGCGGGATCCTGCCAGGACCCCCTGGAGCCTGGGCTCAAGGTGCGCACCCGTGCGGGAACCCATTGTGGCTTGTCCCCCCACCAGGCACCTGATATCATATCAACTTCACCATCAGGCAGGATGATGATCCAAGGTAGGTAGGGGTTTAAAATGTCACCAGAATGTCACCAAATGCCAATGGTTTGGTGAAGATCCCGCAACACCACTCAGAGTCTGTTGATTCTTGCGCTGCGCCTGGAATTGACTTTCCAGGAAACGAGTTCCACAGACTATCCAACATTGAAGAAACTGAAACCGCCATGTTCTGAATGGAGTTTCCCTTTCTGGGAAAACTACAACACCATTCGTGGATTTGCTCGGACATTGCCGTGAGGTCCTTCCAAGTAGGACCAGGCAGGGCCTAGTGTGCCACTCCAGTGGTGACTGAGAATTCTTACTGTAATTGGTGATATAATTCTTTCCCAGTCTTTGGGTGGAATTGGTGCCTTCAAAATCCTTGGATGACGGCAGAACACCGTGGCCAGGGCCTGGGCCCATGCCTTCCATGTCTTCAGTTGGTCCTAGTCCATGGGAAGGGCCTGGGAGCCAAGATTGGAGACGCGAACAGTTTGGAACGTTGGAGGGTTTTTTTGGTAACCATGGCAACCTCCGCAAAGATAGACAAGCAAAATCCGATCTTAAAAAACAGTTTATCCAGTTTCTGTTTTTTAGAGGGTCAGGAAGTAAGCAACGACATCACTGGGCGACATTCCATTGATCGAGGTCCCAGCACAGCCCCCAGGCGAAACGATCGCCTAAGGATGCGGCCTCCCTGGCCACCGGAGCATGGGCCGCAGGTCCAGGGACGCCCTGTGCCACGCTTCGGGCCAGATGGACAAGAACTGCAAGATCTGGAGCCTCAACCAGGCGCCATCAGCCCAGGATTAGTGGCAGATGAATCCATGTGGGATTACTGTGGGATAGGCTGGGGAGTGTATCCACAACATGATTATAACAAGACCTAGGACTTTCATCGTTGCCTCGGCCCTTGGCCGCCGCGGCCGCCGCACATTTTACACTTCAGATTCGTCCAGTGTTGCTCTCAGAACTTCAACGTCATCCTGAAACCACAAGGCCCATGTTTCGAATGTTTAGCCGTTTAGCCATTTCCTAATTAATTATTCATCCTTGGTAAACTGGTAGACCCAAGAATAGACCGTTTTTGCGTCTTTTTTTCTCCAAGATAGCTCCACATAGAAAAACTGGCTAAATGGGCTTCTTGCTGCACCATGGCAGGACCAGTTGGCTCACCAGGGTTAGCACCCAGAGGTCCACCCCAAGGAATGCCGCCAGGCGGGCTCACATGGCGGCTCAAGCCGGAGCATATCCAGAAAGAGACAACGAAGATCAACGAAGATGGGGATAGTAAACAGGGATATCCCAACATATCCCAACACAGATAGCCAAATTTAGGATGGTCCAAAAGCAAGAAGGCGATCAACTGCTTTGCAGATGTTTGGGAGCTAATACGGCCAAAGTCTCTCATCATTTTTTTTTGGAGTTTAAGTTTGAGGATCCCAAACTTGAAAAAGCATCCGTAGGCGGGAGAAACATGTCCAATTTCTTCAACCTCCAAAAAAAATCAGTTCTTTTCTGGGGGATCATCCGGATCATCCCACTTAGTGACTGGTGATGTTTAACATAACTATGGAAAATCACAATTTGTTATAGGTAAATCAATGTAAATCAACTAGCAATGGCCATTTTCAACAGCCAATCACCATATCTCATCCGGCGACGGCCAGAGGTGCTGTGTTCCTGCCAGGTCTGAAGCTTATGGCCATGGGATCCATGGGGAACTGTTGGAGAGCGGATTTGTTCTTAGGTCCTAGAATGTCCTGGATATGCTGTATAATATATATATAATATATATATATAATATATATATAATATATATAATATATATGTATATATATATATTATACTATTTGAATTTATTTGCAGTTGTTTTGTATTTCGATGACTTTTGGGTTGGTACTCTTCTGATGTTTTCTGATGTTTGGTCTTTAAGTGGAACGCGCACGCCAAGCAGGTTTTGAAAGTGGATACTTAGAACATCTTAGAACCACCCCCGGCGCTCTTCAGAGCTTTCCCACCAAGGTTCTCACATGGCTCCGACGATGCCTCCGCCAGGCCGGCAGTTTTTTTGATGTCATGACATCCTCCAAACCGCAGGAATGTTGGTAGGATAAAACATGATATACCCTTTGGTAAACTAACATAACTATGGAAAATCACCATTTTCAGTGGGTAAATCCACTATAAATGGCAATTTTCAATAGCTACGTTAAATTACCAGAGGGTAACGGTTAATAACGTTCATGCATTAATGGATGATAATGGATGACAATGGATGATAGTTCATGTCATGCGTGGGCATTCAAAATTGAACACCACTTGGCAACTGCGTATGGCATATGACTAATGCGTATATCCCTACTATATTATCCTATTATATTTCGTCGAATTTTCGTTCTTCCAGTTATTTTTGGTCATTTGGGTTTTTGCCCTAGTTTCGGGGTGCGTCTTGATCAAAATTGAGCGACTTAGGCGTTTGAGGGGAAAACAAATTCGCGAGATACCTACTGCAAAGGTACATTGTCTCATTCCTCATTCATTCTTGGTACAAGGAAGTCCTTTCCGACTCATCCACACTTATGTCACTTATGTCTGTTTCGCAGACAGCGGAGCTTGTCTTGCAGGATCACAAAAGGTAAACAGACACTTTTTCAGATTTGAGTCCGTTTGATCCACTTTGAGGCCGTTTTGAGACATTTTCTGTGCGCGTTTTCTTGGCAATGCGATCATTTGGGGGATTTTTATATTTTTTTATACAAGGTCGGGGACCATGATAGATCATTATCAACTAATCTATCATTATATATATATACACATCATATATCAAGTCTAGCTAGCCAGATCAGATTTTTCATGGCACTGGATTTGATCATCTCAGGCCACCCATTGGCTGGTTGCTTAGGCAAATCCACGATTTATAAACGATTTGTCCAGCCATAAACATCTATTGATAGATATTTCATGATATTTATTGAGGATTTTCCACTGCCATCTTCGACTGGCTTGGGTAAATTGATTGAACATCCCTTCCCTTTTGGGGGTGATTTTTAGCCCCGCCAATTTCTTCAACATATAAACCACACAAATGACTTAATCACAGCATTTGCCACCAATTTGGCGTATTGTAGAAACTCTATACCTGAATGCCCAGGTGGGTTGTACCGCATAACTATCACAACTTATGATTATTTGGCTAGTCTTAATCATTGCAACCATGACCAGTCATTACAATTGTAAATTATCACAAATCCAAAGCCTGGCGATCACAGAATAATTATATAATTATAAATCATGCATCATACAATTAATACAATGACTAATCACCAGAAATTCAAGTGTATTTATTGTTTTTCGAGTTACCTCACAAGATCGAGAGTTTCCTGGTGGCGCAGTCGGGAGGCCCTTTGCCAGCACCCGGCTACACCAGCATGCCGCTGAGGCAGTAGAGTCATAGTGGGATGAGGGATTACCCTCTGGTAATTTAACATAGCTATGGAAAATCACCATTTCCAATGGGAAAATCCACTATAAATGGCCATTTTCAATAGCTATGTTAAATTACCAGAGGGTAACGTCCCTTTTCCACAGTAGAAGGGCCACATTTGAAGATTTTGGAGCAAACTGAGAAATGGCGAGAAATGGTATGCCACACTTGTTTGGCTCACGTCATGTTCTCTCAAACCAAAATCATTCGGATGGCCAAGTGACTCGATTTTTGGGGGATGGGTTGAAGAACGGGACACTTGGGGTACCTGAGACCCACCTTGGGAGGCAATCTGATTCGCCATGGAACCAGCCCGGTATTCAAAATTTGTGTGACTGACACGCGCGATACATGCGTAAGCAGTCCAGACATAGTTATGTACCAAATCAACCATCGGAAAGAGATTAATACAACCTTGATCAACGATGTATATCTAGAATCTAGAACAGCATGCATTGCCATGTCCGCGTTCATTCCGACTTTCTCTTCTCTGTATGTACAGTAAATAAATGAATGCAAATATATAATTACACGCACAAGTACATCTAAATACATACGTAAATACAGACAGGCCACACAACATTTTGGTCACATCCAAAAGAATCCCCATGGCAGGCCGGCGGCTCCGCAGATCGTGAGGTGCAGCTATGGAGGAAGCTCCCCTGGGAGGTTTGAAAATAGGCCCCACCCAGAGGCGTCATTGGTTCATCGTCATTTTCCATCATTTTCCCATATTTTCCCGATGAAAATTGCCAGTTGGGCTACACCCCATTCCTGGACGCAGCAACTCAGTGCCGCTTGGTTTCCTCAGAGCACGTCCAGGCACATCCAAGCAGTACAGGACGTGGAAGCCGAAGGCTCAGCACCAAAAAGAAACAGAGATGAGCTGGAGATCATGGCAAAAAACCATTCCCAATCCATCACCACATGTCACCACTCAACTGGTGGTGCATCCCCAAGTCAATGGGAAGATGGACAGATGGACATTTTTGGAAGCTCGGTCCATTGCCATCGTCACCATCCACCAAGGTCATGTCTGAGGCCGGGCTGGGGCGAAGATGTAGAACAAACACTTAAAAAAAGATAGCATTTCTCTTGGGAAAACATGAAGAGAAACAATAGAAAACCATTGAACACCAACGAAAAACCATCAACGAACCATGGGAAAACCATAGAAAAACAATAGAACTCAAAGACGCAACTCGCCAGGCGAGTCCAGAGTGGGCCGGGTACACAACTCAGCGAATGCTTGGGAAATGCCACACTGCGGCAAGGCCAAGAAGTCGGAACATGTAATGTGCTTGATGATGAACATGTATGTAGTATGATTATGTATGGATGACACACACACACACACATATATATATAATAATATTATCATATGGTGTTTTATTATATTAAATTACATTATACTACATTATATTACATTATATTACGTTATATTTTATTATATTATACCATACTATATAATATTACATTATTTTGCATTATGTCACATTATTTTTATATTGTAATATATATATATAGATATATCAAAACTTAAATTATATATTTTATTTATTATACCATATTTTATTACATTTTATCATATACTATATGACTATATGATATATTACAATATATTATATATATATTATACTATTTTTTATATTACAATATACTATATATATTATATATTATATTATATTATTATAGTATATAATATTATACATTACTTTTTTCAAATGATATAATCTATAACATTTATTATATTATGTTTTATGATATTATATTACGTTATAATATATATTATTTAAAATATTGCATTACATTATATACATGTTATTATATTGTATTATATTATATTAAATTATATTATACTATATTATATGATATATTGTATTTTTTTCATATATTAAAATATTGTAATATATAGTTATATATATTATATTATATTGTTTTATCTAATGTATTATATCATATTATCATTTATAATAAGATACTATGATATAGTATAATATATTATTGTATTATTTTACGTTATATTACATTATATAATGTCACATTATTTGTTATCATATTATGTGTTTTTTTGGTTTATATTATATATTTTTTTTTGAAATTGTATTTTGTATTTATTATATTGTATACATGCATTATATGTTTTATCATATATTATATTATATTATATTATATTATATTATATTATATTATATTATATATTGTGCTATATATATATATATACATGTATGTATATGCACACACAGAATGGCGTATGCATGTAGGAATTTCACAATCCAGACCACCAACACACCAAGGTTGGATCGCTCGCCCATGCGCCCAGGCAAGTGTGATTCCGCCCATTTGCAATGCACAAAGAACCCACTGCCAGTTGCCACTAAGCTGGGGGGGATCAGCTCATCTTGTATTACATCCATTCCCGAAACTGCCAGTAACAAAAACACAGAAATCTGGGGCTGATGTCAAGCCTCCAAAATTGATCAATTTCTGGCATTTCTGTTGATCACATAAACCATTTCTCCCCAGCCGATTCAGGCAGGTCTTTCACCAGGCAGGTTTATTTCCACTGCCGAAGGCTTCTGTGATGTGGCATCCGTCCGGCCCACAGATGCCATTTGGGCCATGAAGGTGGGCGAAATGGATCAAGTTTGAGTTTGGGTCCCTGGATTTCGAGGTTTTAAAAGACATCATGTGTTGCTGGTAGTGTTTCAGCTTATCCAATGTGTTCTCCATGTTTGGTTGAACGCATTCCATTTAAGGGGTACAAACAGTACAAACCCCAAATGTGGTTGAACCGTCCATCCCCTCACATAGATCCTCATTGCATCACTTGTCATATCCCATTACGCCCACCTACACCCACACGCATATGTGTACATACGTACATACGTACATACGTACATACGTACATACATACATACATACATACATTCATACATTCATACATACATACATACATACATGAATATTAATATATTTACATACATAAATAAATAAATACATATAGATGTACATACATATATATACATGAATATACATTTATATATATATATATACATATACATACATATATGTATAAACACACATATATATATATATATTGATGCCCAGCACACATATACAGCAACACATTATTGGTATGAAACTTGACCTATCGCACCAATGTATGGCTTTAACGCTCCCGAGGACAAGGGCAGCGTGGCCCTAGGCAGCATGGGCAGCGTGTCTGCCTTAAGTCAAGTGGAGGATGCGGCCAGCGAAGCGGCCAGGGTGTGGCTGCCGAGCGGACATTCATGAGGAAAGTCCACCAAGAAATGGGTTAAAACATATTAAACATGTGAGCACATTGAACACCCTATGAAATTACTAAGGTTGCTGGGAAATTTTTGGGAAACACATAATTGGATATATAATTTTTTTGAGAGATTTTGAACCTACAGGAGTGATGACAGTGATGAAGGGGTTTGTCCAAAAATGGGGGCGGTTAGTACCAATTTGAGCGGCCAAAACGCTTTGAACCCATGGAAGTTCTGCTATCCTACTTTTGGACAAGCCTGCGCATACCTGGGGGCGTCTAAGATATGTGCATTCAGCTTGTTGATCTACATGCAGGCAAAACATGTGGTCACATACTTACTTGACCATGGTGAAGGGGGCCCACATATCTTTTCACTTCTTCTCAGACAACATTGGAGAGCCATGGCTGCGGAAACCCATGGATTCGGCCACAAAGTCAGCCATTGTCGAGGCCTTGCGCGCCATTGCAGAAGAGGCAGAGGCCAAGAGACGATTTTCTATGATGTGTTTCCCTTCATTCCTGGAATGGTGCCAACCCCAGATCATCCCAGACTAATAAGATAATAACTGAGTTGGTGGTTTGGAACATTTTTTCCCATATATTGGAAATAGTCATCCCAACTGACTTTCATATTTTTCAGAGGGGTAGGTATACCACCAACCAGATAAGCACCTGACCGGTTGTTTCTTGGCGGTTTCCACGGTGATTTCCTCAATGAATACTGAGCAGTTCAAGCCTGTCACATGGTGAATTCATCCTAGTTCCTAATTGCAATAGTGAGGCTTTGTTTGATTTTCGGATACCCAAAATCTAATCCAAATCTCGTATATCAAGTTGGATATATATATATATATATACATATAATGATAGCAGATAATAATTCTTATATTTGTAATCATAATAAAAACACGAAGAGTAATAATTCTTACATACTTTATATAATTAATATTTAAAATCTATATACATCCAATTCTGCACAGTATGTCCCCATGATATCCCCACATCCTCCATGATATCTGGACTAAACCCATGGGAAAACCTCCAGGCGAAGTATGCGAACTTGGAGGCGCGGATGCACAGCGAACAGCTCCACATGGAGGAGGTCCCTTGAGTTTAGTGGCTATATATATATATTATGTATAGTTTGTTATCTTATGATATGATATATATATATATATACAATTATATATATATTAATATAAGTATTAATACACATCGTGTATATCATATATCACATATATATATATATAAATTATATAAATAGTGTATGTGTACATAATTCAATATCTTATACATGATACATCTCGTATACTGAATATAGTAGGATATCGATACATTCATGAACCATCTCGAAGAGAGAGCGTTGGTTGCGGCATGGCCTTAGTCCATCAATTCACCAGCATGAACCGCCCAGCGCGTCTGCAACATTGAAAACCAAGATTGGGACCAACAAGTTCAACAAATATGAGATGATTGAGATGCTTTTTTTGTGTCTATGTAGATACTGTAAAACAGAATAGATAATTATAGACATAGTGTTATGCACATATAGTTATCTATGGTTTTCCATTTTTTGTTTTTTTTGGTGCAATTGGATTCATTGGATTCATCGATCATCACCGAGCATACTTGACGCGCGGATGCAGGTCTTGGCTCATCAGGCAAGGCACGAGCAGGCGGGGCACATGGTGTCACTCCTGACCACATTTGAGACTGGAGGAGAGGTAATATGGCTATGGATCAATACCTATGAAAATACCATTTTTAGTGGGATGAACATCCATAAATCCCAGCTATTTTGATGTGAACTACAGGGGTACAAGGTTTTGACACACTGCCATATCAGCAATTGAATGCGATTGCACTGTTGTTGCTCTTATGCGGTCCCAAACAATTCTGCGGTCTTAAAATCCACTCACCCAACTATCAGAAAAGCTCAGCTAAACTCCTGCAGATGCCGACAGGCAACCATTTTTGAAAACACAGGTCATTTATTTTTGTGAGATAGTTTCATGGTCATAGCTCGTCATAGCTGGTCATAGCTGGTCATAGCTGGTCATAGCTGGTCATAGCTGGTCATAGCTGGTTCACTGCTTCCAATATGTTCCAATCAATGGATTGGTTTAAGGGAAAAATTACAAGAACCCCCTCATTTTCATGGGAAAATCTATGATATTCTATGGCGTCCTGTAGATTTTCCCTTGCCCTCTGGTAAACATACAAAAAACAATGGAAAATTACCATTTTCAATGGGAAAATCCACTATGTCTATGGTCATTGTCAATAGCTATGTCAGTCATTGTAAAAAAAAGCTATGTCAGTCAATGACCATAGCTATTCAATAGCTATTGGAAATGACCATTGGAAATGTTTGGTAAGTTCCATTGATCCAACCATTTCCCACCTGCGCCGGTGCCTTCCAGGTCCTACTGCGCATGGCAGAGGAACTCGTGGATTTGCGCATGGCGCACCAAGCCTTAGCCCAGGCGCAGGAGACGTGTATTGCGAAGTCACCAGAGTTTCCCTAATCGTTATATATATAATTATATGTGTATAGATTATATTTATATATACATATACATACATTATCTCATATTATCCCGCCATTATCCTATAAATATTCCACTATCCTATTAATATCCCCTAATATCCCATAGTGTCCTCAATCAAGCTTTAATCATTATTGGGTTTCCCACATTACTTGGCATTGATCATGGTTAATGTTAGTAAAGCCATGCCATAAAGCCATATAAATTGATGCTTGGAATCCCAGCCATAAAAATTCTAAACCTGGGAATGGTGGATCCATGTGGATTCTTTCCATCCTTTGATGGGTTTTAACCATATCAATCAGTCATTGACTGGAGCTTGATATTTGAATACCTGGTTTAGTCTAAGGCTCTAAGGTCTATTTGTGACTGGTTGAGTCGCGGGGGGTGGCAATCATTTTTTTGGGGGAAGGGATTCATATAGTGAATACGCGACGCACCCTGACATTTTGTCAAAAGAGCATATCATATAGTAATATATATATATAATATACAGCAGTGTAGACCTTGCACTTCCGTACCATAAGAAATGGGTGCTAAAAAAACAAATGGCTTCATGATTGGGCACACCGCACTGGACCAGCATGGTGGATTGGGCTCAAGTTGATGGCAACCAGACACTCACTTCATGCCCTGGTCGCATGTTGTGTTGCGAAAAAATCTGCATTGCAGTCCGCAGAATCCGACACGACTTCCTTGTCAAGGACATGTTACCGTGATCTCCATGTGTGTGGTTTGTTGGGGACTTACCCTCTGGTAAACTAACATAGCTATGGAAAATCACCAGCTTTAATAGGTAAATCAACTATACATGGGCCATTTTCAATAGCTATGTCAGTCAGTACCAGAGGGTAGGTTGTGGCGACCTTGGTGCACCATCGCTGCGAAGATTTTGGCGGCTCCACCTTTGCTGAAGCCACGGGTCGTGGGCAGATCCCAAGGGATCCCAAGGGCCAAGTTAGGGCTGCTTTCATGACGTCAAAATCATCAAACCGTTGCCTTTTCCCCGAAGTTGAGCAACTGCAACTGCTGCTTGGCTGAGTGATTAGCCTGATTAGCCATAGTCAGCCAGTTTGGGCCTGGGAAGGGTGTTGGAGTTGCAGCACATGTGCAAACGGTATGTGAAAACAGATGAATTGGTTCTGGAACCATTTGGGTTTTTTCTTTAGGCATGAAGGAAGTGTACAAGAGGGGAACTCATGTGATGTCTGTGTAAGCTTTGCAGCACTTTGCGCATCTACTTTTTGTACGTTGCGTGTGCTTTGGCCCTTCATGTGCCCATTTAATCTTCTCCGTAAGCACCTGCCTGAGCCACTTTCACTGCAGCTGCACACGCCTTGGGGAGCCTTGCGTAGCCAAGGGCATGAGTCATGAGCGCCACAGAAAAACACGACCCGTTTGAAAACTGAACACCACCCCAGGCATCCCCAAATGGTCGTACGGTGTGGCCTCATACTTTGTTGGAGTCATTGTAATAGAGTTATAGAAAAATTGTTCTTGTCCATGTCCATGGTTTTGTTCCAGTTCCGCTTCTTGTTCGGGTTCCTGTTCCTGCTGTTGTTGTTGTTGTTGTTGCTGTTGTTGTTGTTGCTGTTGTTGTTGTTGCTGTTGTTGGTGTTGGTGTTGGTGTTGTTGTTGTTGTTGTTGCTGCTGCTGCTGCTGTTGCTGCCCTGAGAATCGATGTGGGCATATACCTCAAAAATATCAATATGGTCACATGATGGTTACAGCTCCGTTAATGCTTGATGTTGGCGACATATCTTGGAACCTATCGGAAATCCAGCTTGATTTTCTTGGAGAAAACCAGGCAAAAAAACCCAAGCATTGCTTGGCGAGATGATGCGCTGGTAGTTAAACTCGTGACAAATTGTGATTCTTTCGTGATTTCTCCAGGATTGACCGCTCATCTTATTTCGAATCAATTTCTCGCAGGTTTTCACCGCATTTTCAGGGTAAAATGATGCAAGTTGCCATATTGACATTAAAAAACAGGGTGTACCGTAAATGTATGTAAATGTCAGCAAATAGACCCGACTTTTGATTCACAAGGTCATGCATCACGCCGAAATCATTACGCACTATGCGCTACGTCGCTACGTGAATCTACGTGATGCGTCATGCGTTATTGGCTATGCGTTATGCATGTTATGCGCTATGCATTATGCACTGACATTCGATGATGCATTTAGTGTTTCGCAATTTACATTTTGAGGATTGTAATTTGATGCAAGATGAAACGCACTTTCAATGGCGCATCGCATAGGAGTCACTAGTTGTCAGATGATCACAGGACAGATTTTGACGATGGTTTTTTAGAGTCTGTCCATCTGAAATAAACAGTGTATTCATACATTCTATCATTCTACTGTTCGAGATTCTATTGACTATATCTTGATAGCTCATAGAAGTCGTACATAGTCAGTCCTATTGCTTTTGGTTTCTGTGTAATCTAGGGCTATTGCATAACATTGCCTCAGTTGCTCCCCTGAGGATTCAATCTGGTGAACATAGGACCAAGAGACCCAGAGGCGAGGAGGACCGTTCTGACTTGGTTAGCTTGGTCCGGCTGATTCGCTTCATGTTGCTTCAGATCTGAAGGATTTTAAACAACTAGTGACAATAAAAGATCAATATGACTTTATTTTTATTGATACAAATCCTACAATAAGTACAACTAACAGGAATGTTACGTTGGCAGCTGGTAATCTAAACTAACTAGATTAACTAGTGACTAGAAATGATTCATGCATTTCATTCATCACATGACTCTGAAGTTGAGATCAATTTGACCGTGGCAGTTGGCGATTTTGGCTCAGATCGCTCCAGCGATCTCCAGGGTGACGCTGGCAGTCAGCTGGCAGTGCAGTGATGGAAGCCCCACTGAAGAAAGTGATCTTGCCAAATGGCGCAGTGGACTGGGAGGCTTTTCAAGAGTTAGTCACGGAGAAGGACTTCTTGGTCTATGATCCGCCGCAGATGCTCGGCAGTTCTGTCGTGACTCATGTAACTCCCCAAGCGCATTGTACAAGCTGGCTGTGAATTGTGAACAGGTTCGGGCTGCCCTTTGAAGATCTTCAAAGCTTTAGCTTGGCAACGGGCAATTCTCACGTCACGTTTTTTTCCTTCAATTTAATATATATATATATATATTTAACCTAGAGTGAATCAGCCAAGATCTCATGGACGCCATTGGTGTAAGGAAGAAGCGGCCTTTCTGGGCCCTGAGCAACCTCAACCTCTTCACTCCCAGATCGCCCATTGGAGTTGGCTTTCCCTGCTGTGTGGCTGAATCAGTGCGAGCCAGAATGCGATCGGAAGGCCACGATGTTCAACATGCAACTCGGTGCTGTCAGAAACCTCATCTCCTTTCAAACGCATGGAATTATTTTTTTTTGGGTGGGGAACCCCAGAAACATCCAGTGCGATGTTGAATGATGTTGTGTGCTTTTGGCATATATACTTCCGTGAGAACAGATGGAGAAAACAAACACCACAGTGAAGCCATAAACATGTGTCATATATGTTCATATATATTATAAAGAAAAAAAAACACCACATGAAACCATATGAAAGATAGACCATCAAGCAAACCTTCATCGGTTCGAGGCCTACATCTCCAAGCCAGACGAGTGGTTCTTGAAAATGCTGGAACCACCAGCGGAGGGCAACCACTGTCCTGAGTTCCTGCGTGGAATTTGGTGGATGAAGGAGACATGACGCCATGCCATGTCCGATGTGGCTACAAGGCTAGCAGATTTGTTGCTCCAGTGCAGTTGGTCTTTGGATGTTTTTCGGTGTCTTTTGTCTTTACATGTGTTCCATATAGGTTTTTATATAAATATATACACTTAGGTGCTCCCAATTTTTACCCAGCACCATTTGCGATATTTACGCCAGTGGTGGTGCTCATTTTGACTTCGACCAGTGACCAGGACAACGTTGCCAACGAGACCCTTCTGTCCTTTGAGTCGGCCCATTGGGGTTCTCCTGGCACCAAAATGGAAGGCCAGGAACACGCCAGGAACACGCCAGGAATTGGACACACGAAACGCCAACTGCTTGCCATGGCCAGGAGTTGGCATCAAGCATGTTTTCAAGAACTGGTCCAAAGGCTCAAGCATGTGGGGATCCATGTTCCTCGGAAGGACATGAAGTGACTGGGGGGACGCCTCTTTTTGCCTATTGTTTGCAGCATCATCCACAGAATAGCAGGTAAACTCTGCTTGACTCAGCTTGACCCTGTGGATTGAAAATCCTTACAGCCTTACAGTAACATAAGCCCGTCAACAAATCGAGTTCCCAAGACACTTCGGAATTCCACTCGACGACGCCGAGGTTGGCCCGCAGTCATGAAGCTTGGCTTTGTCACCTTGGCAGACACGTGTTGTCAACATGATTCAATGCATCATTCATCATTCCACGCATTTCCGCGCCACTAGTCGCCCTAAGGAAGAAATGTTTGGGGTATTCAAAATTTCTCCAAATTTACAGTGGATCAATCTGGATATGGACAACTGGATCTACATCCTGCAAGCTGGTGACAAGCTTGTGGATCCCAGCGGCAAGCCAGTGCCCTTCACACCGGGTGAAGCACTCAGACTGTTGCTGAAGTTGACACATTTGACAGACAGTAGGGTCTGAAGTAATACATTCATTTGAGGGTTTCCCAAGATGGGAATACCCAATCATCCAAAATTATATAGACCATTTTAGTATTGAAACCCATGGTTTTGGGGATCCCCCATTTTAGGAAACCATTATGAAGCAGTGAGTTATGGACAGACTGATGCTGCTGATATCTTTGCTCCAGTTTCATGACGTGCCTCCAAACCCATTTGCTCAGGAGATGACTTGCTACGAGTTACTTGGAACGATCAAGACCCTAAGAAGGGAATCTACTACCAATACATTGTGAGTCGCGTCGCGTTCAAGGACTCGTTTCCGATCAAAATGTTGCAGACACTGGAACAGAGGGTCTCGGAGACATTCGGAGACAACCTTCAAAAAATCCTTCAAAAGTTCGATCGAGCTACAGCAAGTTGCATCAAGTTTCATCCGGATCATGTTGGTAAAACAATGCCATAAACCATCCCCCAAATGACAATTTTTCCAGTCATGAGTGGTTTATGACATTGTACCATGAAATATGGGGTTTCCTGTAAAAAAATCCTTTATATGTTTAATATCCATAGATGATGTAACATACATATAATTACATATATCTGGTTGGTGGTTTGGAACATCTTTTATTTTTCCATATATTGGGAATGTCATCATCCCAACTGACGAACTCCATGATTTTTCAGAGGGGTAGGTCAACCACCAAGCAGTATATCCTTTGTGCATGGTATGTATATATATATCCCACGTTAATTGTAATATGTTATAATAACAAGTGTTATATCCCATGTTACAACCAGTATATCATATGTATATATATCCCATTAATATAGTTCATATATATAATAGTTCATATATACGATATCAACCAACCAGCATCTATAGTTCATCAAGTTCCATGCGTTTCGCGTTTTGCCCCAGGACGAGAGCGGCAAATTGCAGAAAGTCCATCCTGCCTATGACGAGCTGTTGGATCGAGCCACGCGCCCCACCCTTCAAGGTCGGGGACCCAGATACTATCATTATACTGTTATATGATGTAATAATATGTAATAATTATATATATATGATATAAGATGATATAATAAGATGATATAATAAGATGATATAAGATATCTATATTCATTATTCGATTGGGCTAGCGCCCGGGTGCCGCCGACCCCCCTTCGAGGGGAGGGGCATTCTAGTCCCGGAAATTTCCTTATGCTTAGCCAGTCCAGTGGTCCAGTGGCTACACTTTAAACTTTGTTCGATGATTCAACCACCCCTATTGATCATTGACTGGCTTCACCGCTTGCCCCGCTTGCAAAGGGAATGTGGCCAGAAACGTGAAGACAAAGACAGGGCAAATAAACCATCGAACGGTCTGTGGAAGCCAGTTTTCTGTGAAGGACGGCGTTGTGAAGGAGAAAGGTGGCAAACGGCAGGCTTGAACGCCAAGAGAAGAAGCAATTGATGTGGCCTTGGTGCAGCCGTTGACCTGGCCTTGGGGTGCCTTTTGCTTGCGAGTTTTAAGCGTTTTAAGCGTTTGACGCCTGGCAAACGGCAGGCCTGAACGCCCATAAGAAGCCATTGATGTGGCCTTGGGGTAGCTTTTGCCTGCGCGGTTGGGCGTTCCAAGACGCTTTTTAAGATTACTTTAATTTTTAAGCGTTTTAAGCGTTTCCAGGCTGGCCACCCGCAGGCTTGAACGCCCATAAGAAGCCATTGATGTGGCCTTGGGGTGCCTGTTGCCTGCGGGGTTGGGCATGCCAAGAGGATGTTTAAGCGTTTTAAGGGTTTTAAGCGTTTAAGGCCTAGCAAACGGCAGGCTTGAACGTCCATAAGAAGCCATTGATCTGGCCTTGGGGTAGCTTGTGCCTGCGGGGTTGGACATGCCAAGAAGATTTTTAACCGGTTTAAGCGTTTAACGCCTGGCAAAAGGCAGGCTCGAGCGCCCATAAGAAGGCATTGACGTGGCCTTGGGCCTTGGGGTAGCTTGTGCCTGCGGGGTTGGGCGTGCCAAGAAAATTGCTGGCAAACGGCAGGCTTGAACGCCCATATAAGAAGCCATTGATGTGGCCTTGGGGTAGCTTTTGCCTGCAGGGTTGGGCAAGCCAAGAAACTTTTTAAGCGTTTTAATCGTTTAAAGGCTGGCAAACGGCAGGCTCGAACGCCCATAAGAAGCCATTGATGTGGCCTTGGAATGCCTGTTGCCTGCGGGGTTGGGCGTGCCAAGAGGATGGTTAAGCGTTTTAAGGGTTTAAGGGTATTTAACGCCTGGCAAACGGCAGGCTTGAACGCCCATAAGAAGCAATTGATCTGGCCTTGGGGTGCCTGTTGCCTGCGGGGTTGGACATGCCAAGAAGATTTTTAAGGGTTTTAAGCGTTTAACGCCTGGCAAACGGCAGGCTCGAGCGCCCATAAGAAGCCATTGACGTGGCCTTGGGGTAGCTTGTGCCTGCGGGGTTGGGCGTGCCAAGAGGATGGTTAAGCGTTTTAAGCGTTTAAAGGCTGGCAAACGGCAGGCTTGAACGCCCATATAAGAAGCCATTGATGTGGCCTTGGGGTAGCTTTTGCCTGCGGGGTTGGGCGTGCCAAGAAGCTTTTTAAGCGTTTTAATCGTTTATTAAAGGCTGGCAAACGGCAGGCTTGAACGCCCATAAGAAGCCATTGATGTGGCCTTGGGGTGCCTGTTGCCTGCGGGGTTGGGCGTGCCAAGAGGATGGTTAAGCGTTTTAAGGGTTTTAAGGGTTTAACGCATGGCAAACGGCAGGCTTGAACGCCCATAAGAGAGCATTGATCTGGCCTTGGGGTAGCTTAAGCGTTTTATTCGTTTAAAGGCTGGCAAACGGCAGGCTTGAACGCCCAAAAGAAGCAATTGATCTGGCCTTGGGGTGCCTGTTGCCTGCGGGGTTGGACATGCCAAGAAGATTTTTAAGCGTTTAAGCGTTTAACGCCTGGCAAACGGCAGGCTCGAGCGCCCATAAGAAGCCATTGACGTGGCCTTGGGCCTTGGGGTAGCTTGTGCCTGCGGGGTTGGGCGTGCCAAGAGGATGGTTAAGCGTTTTAAGCGTTTAAAGGCTGGCAAACGGCAGGCTTGAACGCCCATATAAGAAGCCGTTGATCTGGCCTTGGGGTAGCTTTTGCCTGCGGGGTTGGGCGTGCCAAGAAGCTTTTTAAGCGTTTTAATCGTCTAAAGGCTGGCAAACGGCAGGCTTGAACGCCCATAAGAAGCCATTGATGTGGCCTTGGAATGCCTGTTGCCTGCGGGGTTGGGCGTGCCAAGAGGATGGTTAAGCGTTTTAAGGGTTTTAAGGGTTTAACGCCTCGCAAACGATCTGGCCTTGGGGTAGCTTGTGCCTGCGGGATTGGGCGTGCCAAGAGACTTTTTAAGCGTTTTAATCGTTTAAATAAGGCTGGCGAACGGCAGGCTCGAACGCCCATAAGAAGCTATTGATGTGGCCTTGGGGTGCCTGTTGCCTGCGGGGTTGGGCGTGCCAAGAGGATGGTTAAGGGTTTTAAGGGTTTAACGCATGGCAAACGGCAGGCTTGAACGCCAATAAGAGAGCATTGATCTGGCCTTGCTGTGCCTTTTGCCTGCGGCGTTGGGCGTGCCAAGAGGCTTTTGAAAGGTTTAAAGGCTGGCAAACCGCAGGGCGTGCCAAGAGGTTTTTTAAGCGTTTTAAGCGTTTAAAGGCTGGCCACCGACAGGCTTGAACGCCCAAAAGACAGCATTGATCTGGCCTTGGGGTGCCTTTTACCTGCGCAGTTGGGCGTTCCAAGATGCTTTTGAAATGTTTAAAGTCTGGCAAACGGCAGGCTTGAACGCCCATAAGAAGCCATTGACGTGGCCTTGGGGTAGCTTGTGCCTGCGGGGTTGGGCGTGCCAAGAGGATGGTTAAGCGTTTTAAGCGTTTAAAGGCTGGCAACGGCAGGCTTGAACGCCCATATAAGAAGCCATTGATCTGGCCTTGGGGTAGCGGGTAGCTTTTGCCTGCGGGGTTGGGCGTGCCACGAAGCTTTTTAAGCGTTTTAAACGTTTAAAGGCTGGCCACCGGCAGGCTTGAACGCCCATAAGAAGCTATTGATCTGGCCTTGGGGTGCCTGTTGCCTGCGGGGTTGGGCGTGCCAAGAAGATGGTTAAGCGTTTTAAGGGTTTTAAGCGTTTAACGCATGGCAAACGGCAGGCTTGAACGCCCATAAGAAGCCATTGATGTGGCCTTGGGGTAGATTTTGCCTGCACGGTTGGGCGTTGTTCCAAGAGGCTTTTTAAGATTTTTAAGCCTTTTAAGCGTTTTAAGGGTTTAACGCCTGGAAAACGGCAGGCTTGAACGCCCATAAGAAGCTATTGATGTGGCCTTGGGGTAGCTTTTGCCTGTGCGGTTGGGCGTTCCAAGAGGCTTTTTACGCGTTTTAAGCGTTTTGAGGGTTTAACGCCTTTGAACGCCCAAAAGAAGCCATTGATGTGGCCTTGGGGTAGCTTTTGCCTGCGCGGTAGCTTTTGCCTGCGCGGTTGGGTGCTCCAAGAGGCTTTTTAAGTGTTTTAAGGGTTTAACGCCTGGCAAACGGCAGTTTTGAACGCTCAAAAGAAGCCATTGATGTGGCCTTGGGGTAGCTTTTGCCTGCGCGGTTGGGCGTGGCTTTGTAAGCGTTTTAAGTGTTTAAAGGCTGGCAAACGGCAGGCTTGAACGCCCATAAGAAGCCATTGATGTGGCCTTGGGGTAGCGGGTAGCTTTTGCCTGCGGGGTTGGGCGTGCCAAGAAGCTTTTTAAGCGTTTTAAGCGTTTAAAGGCTGGCCACCGGCAGGCTTGAACGCCCATAAGAAGCCATTGATCTGGCCTTGGGGTGCCTGTTGCTTGCGGGGTTGGGCGTGCCAAGAAGGCAAACGGCAGGCTTGAACGCCCATAAGAAAGCATTGATCTGGCCTTCGGGTCGGCGGATAGATATATATATATATATATACATATATATATATATATTTATTATTCTATTTAGATATGAGTATCTAGCCTATATAGTTGATAAGTCTCTATATGTTGAAAATTCCTTTCCCACGTGTTTGCACAACTCGATGCAAAATCCACATATGTTCTACCAACTTTCGGGGGGCTGTTCCAGCGGCGGCCCCAGGTGCTTGCTGTAACCTCTTTCTCTGCAACATCTCAGACGCAGAAGCTTGTTCTGGAAAATTCAGGTGCGGTTTCATATGGTTTCATCATGTTTCAGCCATGTCCCCCAATGTCATTCAGAAGCGTTGATATCATGTCGGAAAAAAGTGGACAACGGCTCAGGGCTCAAGCCCAGTGTCAACTGAGGAGTATGGTTCGGCATACGACTGCATTGACGACCACCAGATCTACATCCCGGGGCCCGAACACCCGCAACTGAGCTGTAAGTTGGTCATGTTGGGCATGTTGATCAACTTTTTCATGGCAAACGTCCCACAAAAACATACAAAAACCAGACCTTTGCAAAAATGGAGGAGGATAGGAGGCTTGTTTTCAACGTGGTTCCAAATCTGTCGTCGGTCGTGTTTCAGCCGTCCATTTTTGCATTTTTTGCAGTGTTCCACTGCAGGAGCTGGAAACCTGATGACTTTCTGAAAGTAGATCGCGACGCATAGCTCACACGGTGCCCCAGAGAGTGAATGCCTTGTTTTAAACGTCTAGCATTTTGCAGCCCGCTGCATCGGCGCGAAGCTGATTCCCGTGGCGGTAGGATCATGTAGTATTCCTTTTTTTTTGGCCTCAGGTGGTTCTAGATCTTGGCGGACCACTGCAAAAGCAGTCATTTGCCGTCGTGGTTTTTGACCAGTTTCGGCAATTGTGGTCCACCAGAGAAGTGAGAGTTTCTTTGTGGCCCGTGGCCCTCTGCCCTAATGGGCAGGCAATCCTGATCAATCTATTTTGCTGCAAATGCGTCCGCGACGTTTGGTGCTGGGTTGATTTTTTCCCGGAAATTCTGGACTTTTGGGCAAGAACAGGATATCATTCTGCTTTGATTTATTTTTGATTGAAATGGACTGTATCCCTACAGTTACGTCAGACCCTGGCCAGCTTTTACATCAAAATAATTACCAGAATATGTCATACCTGTATACCCTCCGGCAATTCAACATAGCCATGGAAAATGTCCATGTTTCACAGGTAGATCATCTACTGTCATGGGTGATTTTTCATATTTTCCACGGCTATCAGAGGATACGCATCCCATCTATCCCAAAACTCATGGTGAATCATCATGTTCCTCAGAGTCCTCATCAAAATTGTGCCATAAATTGAGGTATACACTGTATACACCTGTTTTTTTTTGTTGGCTTTTCCTTCCTCTTCCGTTCAGGACGGAGCTGGCACCGAATCCTGAGAGTCTGCTGTTTTTCGCCACGGCAGCACGAATCCATCTTGGGGCCATGTACTGCAAAGGGTTGTTAACCATTGTAGGATTTGTAGGGGGGGTTCATCAAAAATGGTGCTTTATTTTTTCTATTTTTTGATTTTTTACTTATCTATCGGAATGTTTGCTTTAAGTATCAGAAATGGTGCCCCTGCTTTAAGTATCAAATGTTGGTTCTTAACAATAACAACCGTAGCGTAGTGTTTGTTTTTAAGAATCAGGGTTTAGCAATCACAACTTGGGTTTAGTAGCTAAAGAATTTGAAAAATGGGTTTAACCATCCAAAAAAGATGGGTGTAAGTGGACAATAAATGGTAAGTTACCCGGCAAAAAATGGACAATTTGGCTGCATTAGGAATATCAAGGGAACCTCAAGTAATCCCATTACCCACTGATATTATCAGTATGAATTCAACAATCAAGGATGGGGGCTTCACATGGTTTTATCATCCTCAAATGGTGAATAGTCAGCAGATGTTCTGTTCAATAGTGCGATTGACCTCTAACTCCTTTTCTCGCAGCTTTCGGGCTTACAAGTAACACGAGGGGTGGCCAACCACCCTCCTGACAGTTGCCTTCTCGGGGAGGTCAGTGGCTGGGGGGAGGACCATCAAATTTTTTTTTAATTATCATCAAAAAAAATTAATTCATCAAAAAAAATTAAATCATCAAAAAGAAATTTAAATAGAAGGGAAGAAGAAAAGGAAAGGAAGGAAGGAAGGAAGGAAGGAAGGGAAGAAGGGAAGAAGGGAAGAAGGGAAGCAGGAAAGGAAGGAAGGAATGAAAGAAGGGAAGCAGGAAAGGAAGGAAGGAAGGAAGGAAGGAAGGAGAGAAAGGAAGCAAGAAAGGAAGGAAGGAATGAAAGAAGGGAAGCAAGGAAAGGAAGGAAGGAAGGAAAGAAGGGAAGCAAGGAAAGGAAGGAAGGAATGAAAGAAGGGAAGCAAGGAAAGGAAGGAAGGAAAGGAAGCAGGAAAGGAAGGACGGAGGGAGGGAGGGGGAGGAGGGAGGAGGGAAGGAGGGAAGGAGGGAAGGAGGGAAGGAGGGGAAGACAGGGAAAGAAAGGAAAAGAAAGGAAAAGAAAGGAAAAGAAAGGAAAAGAAAGGAAAAGAAAGGAAAAGAAAGGATAAGAAAGGAAAAGAAAGGAAAAGAAAAGAAAGGAAAGAGGAAAGGAAAGAGGAAAGGAAAGAGGAAAGGAAAGAGGAAAGGAAAGAGGGAAGGAAAGAGGGAAGGAAAGAGGGAAGGAAAAGAAAGGAAGGAGGAAATGAAGGAGGAAAAGCAGGGAAGGAAGCATACAAATTGCCATTCTTTACAAATACAAGCTAGCTTTCGAATGAAAGGATGTACCTGACCAGTGGTAGACGGGCTATTTTAGGACCAAAAACGAAACCCATGTTATCGGGAGATTGTTGGAAGTTAGCAAGGAAACATTAAGGACCCCCAAAAAAATGAGGGAGGGTAATTTAATTTGTTTCTTTTTTTTTCTCCTTGGTTCCTGGTGGCTCCTATAGTTCCCTGTGTGGCTCCTGGCTTCTGTGGCTCCTTCGGCTCCTGTGTCCCTGGTGGCTCCTGGTGGCTTCGTGGCTTCTTGGCTTTTTGGCTTCTGGCTGCTTGTCTTTTAGCTTCTTTGGTACATGGCTCCTCCGGCTCCTCTGGCTTCTTCGGCTCCTATGGCTCCTTCGGCTCCTGTGGCTTTTCGCTCTTATGGCTCCTTCGGCTCCACATCTACACCTACGTCTATGTCTATATCTATATCTCAATCAATCAATCATCTATCTTTCTTTCTATCTATCTATTTGTCTTTCTATGTATCTTACCCTATCTTACTCTATCTTACCCTATCTTACCCTATCTTTTCCTATCTTACCCTATCTTATCCTATCTTTTCCTTTTTATTCTATCTTTCCTATATTGCGAATGAATGTATCATGACCATGTGACGCTTTGCAAGGGGGAGGCGCCGCGCCCTGTTTTTTTTTACTTGAATCCTACGTGGGTACTGCATGAGTATTGAGCATATTTATATACGCTGTCAAGGCTCACGAGAGGTATAGAGTAATCCTGTGGACACCACTCATGTGACGCTTTGCGGGGGGAGGCGCTGCCCCCTCCCGCCTTTTTATTTAACCCCCCCCCCGCGGCTTGTGACAACGCCAGAAAGGTGGATGATAAGGCCCACCTACATTGCAAATGAATGTATCATGACCATGTGACGCTTTGCGGGGGGAGGCGCTCCCCCCGCGCCCCCCTCCCGCCTTTTTATATTTGAAAGCCCCACCCGCGGCTTGTGACAACGCCAGAAAGGTGGATGATAAGGCCCACCTACATTGCGAATGAATGTGTCATGATCATGTGACCCAAGGCATTTCCAGGGGGGGAGGCCAAACATGTGGCTCTTGTTGAGTTACTTTGGTTATAGTTGAAAACACCAAACATACAAAGCGAACCAACCAAGCAACCGAGCAACCGAGCAACTGACCAGCCAACTAGCCACCCAGCCCACATGCTTGGTTTGTTTCTGTGCTGTGACAACGCCACAAAGGTGGATGATACGGCCCACCTATACTGTTCTGTTGGGGGGAGGCGCTGCGCCCTTTTTTTTGTCTTAACTTGAATCCTACGCGGGTACTGCATGAGTATTGAGCATATTTATATACGCTGTCAAGGCTCAAGAGAGGTATAGAGTAATCCTGTAGACACCACTCATGTGACGCTTTGCGGGGGGAGGCGCGTTGGTGCTTTTTTCAGGAACATGGCACTGGTGCCCGATGCATTTCCAGGGGGAGGCCACATGTATGGCTCTTGTTTTGTCAACCTTTTGTTATTTTGGTTCGGTTGCACGCACGCACACACACACACACCAAACGACTACAACCAAGACAGCGAAGAAGCGAACCAGCCAAGCAACCAAACAACCAACCAACCAGGCAACCAGCCAACATGCTTGCTGTGCTTCCGTGCTGTGACAACGCCACAAAGGTGGATGATACGGCCCACCTATACTGTTCTGTTGGGGGGAGGCGCTGCGCCCTTGTTTTTGTCTTAACTTGAATCCTACGTGGGTACTGCATGAGTATTGAGCATATTTATATACGCTGTCAAGGCTCAAGAGAGGTATAGAGTAATCCTGTAGACACCACTCATGTGACGCTTTGCGGGGGGAGGCGCGTTGGTGCTTTTTTCAGGAACATGGCACTGGTGCCCGATGCATTTCCAGGGGGAGGCCACATGTATGGCTCTTGTTTTGTCAACCTTTTGTTATTTTGGTTCGGTTGCACGCACACACACACACACACCAAACGACTACAACCAAGACAGCGAAGAAGCGAACCAGCCAAGCAACCAAACAACCAACCAACCAGGCAACCAGCCAACATGCTTGCTGTGCTTCCGTGCTGTGACAACGCCACAAAGGTGGATGATACGGCCCACCTATACTGTTCTGTTGGGGGGAGGCGCTGCGCCCTGGTTTTTGTTTTAACTTGAATCCTACGTGGGTACTGCATGAGTATTGAGCATATTTATATACGCTGTCAAGGCTCAAGGGAGGTATAGAGTAATCCTGTGGACACCACTCATGTGACGCTTTGCGGGGGGAGGCGCTGCGCTCCCCCCGCGCCCCCCTCCCGCGCCCCCCTCCCGCCTTTTTATTTTAAAGCCCTGCCCGCGGCTTGTGACAACGCCAGAAAGGTGGATGATAAGGCCCACCCACATTGCGAATGAATGTGTCATGATAAGGCCCACCTACATTGCGTCCATTCCAACATAGTAGACATACACCTTTGCAAGTCAAAATGGGGATGGCAGCTGACCATTGCTGTGTGGGGGCCTGGAACTGGTGGCCCGGTGGCCCAACGACTCAGCTGCCTTGCAAGTAGGGCTGTGTGGCTCGAACGCTAGGTCCTGGGAATTGGGTACGCTTGGTCGCTGGGCCAGGTAACTTACACGCATGGAAGTTCGATTCCCGCACGTTCCCATCTTTCTTGGCATTACCAAACCTGTCGCAGCCAACCTGCTCAGCTTCGTCTACTGTCCTCCTGCTACTTCCTCTGGGTTTTAGCGCCAGGCTTGACCTATTGGCCTCTGGCCATTTGGCTTTTGGCTCTTTGGCCTTTTTCAAGCATACTTCATCGCGTAGCCGTGCGTTGTTGTGCAAGCTTCCGTATACAGCAGGCCCACCCACCCGTGCCTGGAAAACATGATGGAAAGAATGGTTTTTGTAGCCCATTGGATTCAATGTTGTTTGGCCCAGTGCCTCGTTATTGAACAGCTTGCGAACCAATACGTGTTCCTTGTGCGATGACTCGTACATGTCGGCGTCGACCAAGCCCACCCAACCGTCCCTCCCAAGTATATTCCTTTTTTAATATACTTTTTCTGCTAGTAATAATTGTTTTACCAATGACCCCCCAAAAATTTAAATCATCAAAAAATAATTTAAACATATTTTTTTTGATGATGCAATGCACAGATTTCATGATGCTTGTATTTTGCGTTTGGCTTGCGCAGGCCAGGATATGAGGGAATATTTTTTTTGATGAGTTTAATTTTTTTTGATGGGAAATTAAATTTCTTTTTGATGACTTTTATTTTTTTTTTGATAGCTGACTCGTGGCTGGAAGCTGGGTGACTTGTGTTGCCTGGTTTCTTGAAGTCCATTGGCCTCCTGGAGTGGGGTGTGCTGAAAAGGGGGTGAGGCTGCCTTAAGGCGCAATGCCTTTGCCTACATGGCGAAAGACTGGGAGAAAAGCCAATGCAAGGCACTTTGAGGGACTGGAAGTTGGAGCTTACATTGAATTCGTCGGCTACAACGATCAAAACCGGCAACAGGGGAGGATCCTGGGTTGCCTGGCTGAGACAGAGCCATGTCACAGCCGAGAACGTGGAATGGCGGCTCAGGTCCATGTTCTTGCCATTGAGGACGAGTACTTTGAGTACTGGCACAACCAGACGTTTGGAGAATATGATGTGAGACTACTGACACCAGTCCACTTCTGTGAGGTCCCAATTGCAAGCTGCCAAGGGCAGACCCGCTATCGCAATCCCCTACACGTTGACGTCTTCCGGGTGCTGTCTCTTGAGGACACTGCCACCCTTGGATGGCTCACTGATGTCCATCGGTCCCGGTTCGATGGGCCCGGCTCTCCTGGTGCGGGGGGTGCAGGCGATGGTGCCGGCCTTGGTGCTGGTGCTGTTGCCGCTACTCCTGGTGCTGGGGGGCAGGGACAAGAGAGGGGGGCCGGTGTTGAGCCAGGAGCACCCGGGATTGCAGGGCTTGCAGCGGCCCTAGGTGATCGAGATCGAGGAGACCTAGAGAACCAAGCTCGCCTAGGATGGAGGCGGCTGATGAGCGCGGCCAGGGGCCAGGACGTCGTGAGCGAGGAGACGAACGTGACCGCCCAAAGAGACGAACTCAGTCGGGTGATCTCCTCGATGAGCTGCAGGGAAGGCGCCCCAAGGAACCTCGTCTATCTGCCCTGGACTTGGGGAACTTGGAAAAGAAGGAAAAGAAGCTGAAGCAGAAGAAGAAGAAACAGAAGAAGAGAGAAGAAAAGGGCCAGGAAAGCAGCAGTGTGTCGACCTCCTCAACATCAAGTGACGATCAAAAGTTTTTCGAGGAGCCGCCCTTCCAAAAGGCATGGAGCGACTGAGACGTGTTCATCAGAAGCACCCAGGTCGCATAGCGTCCCGAAGTCTTCAGAGATTGCAAGAGCTTCTGATGAACGCTCAGGGAAGGGGAACGGCATTCCAGGAGGAGGAGACAGCGATGCTCCCTGCGGTGGCAGTGGGTTACCTGACGCAGGTATTTTTCCAGCAGCATCCACCGAGCGTGGTGGGGCTCCGGTCAAGCAAGGAGCTGCGCACTTTAGCGCATTGCATAGATCTGATTTGCCGGAACGATCCACTGAGAAGCCTCGATGTGATGATTCAGAGACTAAAGGCCATCGAGCTCTCCCACATCCAGGGCAACTGGCATCAGGCCTCGCAGTTGGAGCTCGTGATGTCGGAGGATCAATTGGCGACATTCCGACAGGAGGTCAAAGCAGCTCAGCAAGAGGTGAAAGCGGACTTGGCCCTGCAACAGGGAGCAGGCCAGAGGAGATGGTCGAGACCCTGGAGATACGAGGCGCCCGGGACAGGGGACGCTCCAAAGACCGGGGACGTGAAAGAAGGCGGCGGAGGAGACAAACCCCCCGACAATGCTCAGAGGGAACCGAGGAAAGGCAAAGGAAAAGGCAAGAAGGGGGGCAAGAAAGGAGGGTATCGATGGTGAGTGACCTACCTCCGTTGCGGCTAGAAGTGCTTGAACGAGCAGTTCATTCAGAGGGCATTGAGTCAGGTGATCGTGAGGAGCTCCTGGCAGCCTTCCAACTCCCCAAGATGCAGGAACTGTTCAAAGTTGTGATCGAGAGCTATGTTGGCGAAGATGTCAGAAAGGAGGCAGAGACTGAATTTGCCAGTGTGTTGATTGATGGACTGGGACGTACAGAGGCTGAGAAGTTCCAAGCCGTTCAACAGCACTTCAAGCCTCTCTGGCTGGATGAGGTGCCCGCCATGATTCCTGGTTGTGAGCCCGCAGAGGCGCCAGAACCGCCCCATCACCACGGTGACGTTGATCCTCAGGGGGCTGGTGTCATACTAGACAAGTATAAGAACTGCGAGTTTCATGAGTGGAGTGGACTGGCGCTGATGGAGGCGTCTACGTGGGAAAAGGCGCTGGTGCCTTGACGTGCTCAATTTTCCAGGAGAATTACCAGGACTCGCTGGACCCCCAGCTGGTGGGACAGGCCCTAGACGGGAGGCGACTCTATCTTCTGAAGGATGAACTCCAACTGGGGCGTGACCTGGTGGACAGATTTGGAATAGAGAGGGCCACGGTGATATCTGGTCGACCACAACCAGTGAGAAGTTTTTGAGGCACTTTGTGAAGGGCAAGGTGGCTGTCTCCTTTTGCGGCGTGGTGCTCAAGATGGTATTGAGGGCCCGCCCTGGGCATTTGGGAACGTTCGCACGTTCGCTGCCCTGCTGCACTCGGAAGCATTTCAGACAGTCGCCCATTGACCTTCTGCCGATCAGGCTTCCCCAAGATACCTTGGAAGAAAAGGCCCTCATGAAGAAGCTCAACGGTATGTTCACCCGGAATGAGCCACCTCCAGCTGACCTTCAGCCCCTTTTAGAGGAGGCACAAGTCTGTGGAGAGTCGGCATGGCTTTGGATACAGATCCTTTTGCTCGACTATTTGTACTGTGGCGGCGCGCGACCTCTGGGGCGAGTGATGCCGCACCCGGCTGAACCCACAACAGAACAAAAAGGTGCCATCGATCGGTTGAGGAAGTTGGTGAAGTTGTGGCTTGAAGATACGACCGAGGAGCTTGAGGTGAAGAGCTGGGAAAAACAGTCACAAGACCTTGGTGACATGTACACGGGACAGGAGATTCGCAAAGCCTACAAGTTGACCTGGGCCAGCATAGCACCACACGTCCCAGGGCCCGGAGAGCCAGCCCTGAGACCCTATGTGATTGACCCTGAGCTGGTGCGAATTCCGGATGATGAGCTCCGTGAGCCCCCACCAGCAGCACCAGTGCTGGTTGAGAACAACTTTGAATATGATCGGATCATCAGTCATCTGGTTGAGTCAGGGATGATGGAGCGCGAGGTTGAGGCCGAAACTCTCACGGTGTCTCTTCGGGGTCCATAAGGCGTGGGTTGTCTCTGGCCGGGGAAAGCCATTACGCACCTTGCGGCTCATCGTGAACCTCATTCCTTCCAACACAGTGCAGAGAAGGCTGCCACTTCGCCCTTCGGAAAAGATGTCGTGGGCGCCTCTATGGGGGCAAATGTGCCTGCTGGAAGATGAGGTTATCCTAGCTTATGGCGAGGACATAAAGCACTGCTTCCACATCTTTGCCCCGGGCCCTGCCTGGCGGGGATACTTTGTGATCTCCAAGAAGGCCTCTGGCACATGCTTCAAGGACGGCGACAAGACACCATCACGACCCAGAGTGAAATCTGCCCCAATGGGCTGGTCAAACATCGTTGATTTCGTGCAGTCTTCTCTGGAGAGAATGGGAACCTGTGGTAGCAGCAGGGCCAACGGGGTGCGATAGATGCCAATGTTATATTCAACCAAGTAGTTAGGTTGCCACACACAGTGGCACAGCAAGGCAGCGCCGCTATGGCACCTGTTTCAACGCTCGGACCTGCCAGGGCTCAAGGCCTAGACGGCAGCAGGTATGTACCTGACATGGTGAAAAAGGAAAAAGGGTAAACTGGTCAACTCATGATACCACTGTTGCATCGGTACCAAAATCTTCTTGGCCAGTTACCCGTCGAATTGATCCAGGTAGCAGGAAGGGACTAAAGATGCCAGTTGGCGCATTTGTGTCACGGCGCTTTGGCCTGCCCTTCGAGCTCGCTTCTCTGACTGTATGAATCCTGGATCATACTTTAATTTCCACACCCACGTTTTGAAGAATTGCAAGATGCCCAATCTTGCTGAACGATCCTTCTTTGTGAGGCAATCACCAAGGTTCCAATCGCCAGAAATCCATATCAAGTTTCCCAGCGACTCCTGCAACTGCTCGCGCAACTGAAAAGCTTGAAGAGCGCTTCGCACGTTGCTCAATCCCAGAAGCGGGGACTCGTTCTTGTTGATTGCATCGAAACCTCCACGGCTGTCTGTACCAATGACGCCCTTCACGAACTTCACCATGCTGTTCGCATCTCCAAGAAGATCGTCTTGACAAAGGCATCCATTCAATTGGCACCACAAAAAGCGAGTGCGGAAATTCGCATCTTCGCCCTCCACCATGGACTGGATCTCCCCGTCGTTGGTAGATATTGCCTTTCTCTTCAATGTCCAGGTTCTCCAGGAGACAATGCTTAATCGTCCAGCTTCACCTTGGGCAATTTGAGGTCCACCAAGCATCGTCAGGTAGCCGCCTGTCGATCCGCCTTGAGGTCGATTTGCATGAGCCTGATCGGCCAAAGTCACCACGGTCATGTCCTGCCAGTGCGTCACCTCAGGAAGATGCCAAAGACGAAGTGTTACCGGATCTTGTCGCACTTCCTTGATGAGAGATTGAATCTCCTTGGCAGTCTGCAAAGTCTTGGTGACTGTCAGCTCCGTCAGGAGTAAGTTCACTCTTGCACCGATGTGGACTTGGGTTTGTGTTGCAAGCCATTGAAGAGCGCCAAGTGCGGCTCGGCAAGCTGCAACTTCTCCAGGTGATAGAGGATCTTTAGGATCTTGACGTAGTCGTTCAGCGCTGATTGCGAGATCCTGCAAGCTGTCGGCATAGAAGTCCTGAGAGAGCTGAATCCATCGCTCGTTGTTCTTCTCCATGACTTCCAAATCAATGCCAGTATGGCGGAAACATTGTTGCTTCATAGATCCCCATTTATATGCAGCATCGATTTGTTTTCGAACTTCCAACCATGCAGGATTAGACAAATCGCCAGATCTGTTGAAGTCATCCACATGTCCTCCAACATAGCCAATCACCATGTACTCGTCGGCTTTGTTCCTAGGGTTTGGATTCTTCTGGGTCCAGACCCAAAAACTGCTATCGCCAATGATACGACGACCACCAAGTTGGGTGAACGTCCGGTCCACATCTTTCCACAATCCACGAGGTGCTGTTGCATTCCCGTAGATATTCTTCACCAATCTCAGCAGCTCATCGTCAGATGCACCAAGCGCCTTCTTCAGTTCAGGAACGCCACTTGTGTAGAGCTCCTCTTGCTCCATCTCCTTCGTTCCTGTCTGCAAAAACGCTGTTGACATGTCAAGGCCTTCCAAGGTCCATCCCTTTTGAGCTGTCAAAAGAAGTGAGAGGTTGCGCATCAGCTGAGATTGCACAGGTGCTGATGAGCGAAAAGTTGAGCTCACCAGATCTGGGTGTTCAAATCCCAGCACCACGATTCTTGCCTTTGCTTTGTAGTCGCCAGAAGGGTGAACAGCGCTGTCGGGCTTCGAAGCTTTCTCCTCCAAAGCTTCTGCACGACTCTCAGCTGGAATCTGTTTCCAAGTCAACACCCACCTGGCACGTAGTACTCGGTCAGATTGTGCAGCACGTTTTGCCTCTTCCAGTGAAAGACACCTGCGAACTGCAGCAGTCTTGATGAAGGAAGAAACTTCAGAGGATTTTGCATGATCGAACAGCTTTCGATCTTCATCTGAAAGCTTGCGGTAGACCACCTCAGAGGAGTTGATCTTCTTCACCAAATAGGCCGAAGGATCCCTCAAGAACATCTTACGTTGCCGGTTAGAGGACCAGTCCAGCTCCAAGTCAAAGACATAAGCTTCGTTGGTCTCAAGAATGGCCTGGTTGAGGTCCAAATAGAGTCCATCTCCTGGGTCCTCATCCTCATCAGCCTTGAACTTCTTGAGATCAGGTTCAACAGGGGCTGTGTCATCCAACTCCGGCTCGGCATTCTCCGCATTCTCTGTGTCATCAATCGCTGTAGTAAGAGGTGTTCTTGAAGACGTTGAAAATCTCCTCAGAGGTGCTTCAGGTGGATCATCATCAAAGATCGCATCTTCAGCAGGAACTGGAGGAACGTCCTGCTCGTAGTCGGGTGAATAGCCCTCGGACTCGTAGTCATTGACCTTGTCATCGCCAATCTCTTGTTGTGGATCTGCAGGAAGTGGTCGAAAAGACACAGGTGTTCCATCAGCATATAGAGGTCGACCAACATCGTCCATTCGATACTTGGAGTTGAAGCGCACCTTGGGACCAATCACGGTCTCAGTGTTGGGCTTGTCCGGCAGGAAGGGTCCTTCAATCTCACCATCCATAGGCTCCTCACCTTCGAGGTCCACATAGTTCCGTCGAGGAATCATGTCAGTGAGATGCTTCCAACGGTGAGATTCATCACCTTGAGCTTCAAAAATCGCTTGTTCACGTTCTGAAAGAGGTCTGACACTGTGGACAGAAGCGCGATAGAGAATGTTGCCCAAGATGACCCACACGATCTGGCGTCGGTCTTGTTCATCTTGACCAGCCACCAGTTCATGGAAAACAACTCGGCCAGGACCAACCCAACGAGGTCGAGTGGTGTGACGATGTCCTCCCTTGCGACCCTTGTAGAGAGTGTGGGGAAGAAACTTCCTCCAAATCATCACTGGTTGAGCCATGCTGAAGGTTCGAACAGGCTGTCGGATCGAGGTGTTCCGCAGCTTGGACATCATCAGGGATGCCTTGGCACCCTTGGCTCTACGTGCATGTTCTTCAGCCACTTGTCGTTGAGTCAGAAGTCGTAGAAATTGATCTTGCTGACGCTCCACTGGAAGAGAAAGTTGTTGCCTCAACTCATCGTCACCAAGTGTGGCTTGATGACCAAAGGCCCATTGGATGCTACTGTATCCTTGAACAAACTCTGTTGAGTTCAAGGCAGCAGTCGCCAAAGCAATGGCATGTCCAGGCTCCATGTCGGGAGTTGATTTGTGAATCCTTGAGGCAGCTTCTTTCAAGTGGCCAATGTTTCGTTCGACCACTCCATGTGCCCAACTTTCGTTGTCAGGTGGAGGCATCACAGCAATGCCAAGATCAGCCATCAGTTCGATGACTTGTTGAGAAATCAAGGGGTTGGCATTGTCAGGGATCAAAATCTTCGGTCGTGGCTTATCCATAAGCCAGCGGCTGATGAGGCACTTGATAACGTCATTGGAGGTTTCCACATAGGTCTCTCCAAAGGCGTAGGAGGCCAAAACTTCCGTCACACGATAGTGTGTTGCCATGTCCATCAGGAGGATGAATTTAACCTTGAGGTTCTGTGTCGGAACCTCCCACTCGCCAATGTCGATTCCAAGGTGTTCCCAAGCCTGTGGCAGTGGACGCAAGGAAATAGGGGGAACTTGCTTCGAAGACTTCCCACCAGGTTTCTGCTCCTCACAAATGGCACATCGGTACTTCAGGGCTTCCTTCACCTTCCATTTTTCTACTTGGGCATCAGTCAACATCCGCGCCAAATTTCTTGACGTCGGGTGACCAGCCGCCCGGTGGAACTTTGAGAGCTGCGCTTTCCACCTGGTCAACATTTGAGGCGTCACATCTTTGTAATCCTCATCCTCAGTTGTTTTGATCTCCTCAGCTTGTCCAGGTAGAGCAGCATCAGGTTGGTCTCTTTCTCGCTCCTCAGCCTCAGAAGGTAGGTCTCCACAAGGAGGTAGAACTTCTGCAGGATGTAGCCAGCCCTCGGACTCCGCGTAGATCTCGTTCTGGATGTAGAGAGCCTCACAAAAAGGGTCCACTCCTTCCACGGGGGCTGTCCACAGCATCCTTGTCCATCGAGCAGGCATCAAGAGAGAGCGCCAGCACCTTGCAATGCTCTGGCACATTTGAACTGGATAGTAGGCACTTCGATTGGTTTCCACACCAGCTATCCATTCGTGCTGATGATTGTTCAGACAGCACTTCAATCTGAAGCGGTTGTAAAACTCTTGACTCGAAGTGACCACCTTCCAAGACTTTTTGATGAAGTTGCCATGCGCCGATTTGAGACCAAACCGGCATCCATCGATGCGACATTCCCAAAGTTCGCCATAGAGTGCTTGGAACTTCTGCATGAAGGACTGCACCACAGCCTCTCGCCAGCCACGACATCTCAAAGGCCATTCCCAGTAGATCTCGACACCCTTGAACGCAAGAAAGAGCATGAAGTCCGTCATCTGACGAAGCATTTTGCGCTCTCTGC